TCAACTATAATTCCCATAACCACATACTGATATTTTTATACAAATAAAACTAATTGAAGATTGAATAAGCTGATTTCTGGTTTATCTTCAAACAGAATAACTTTATTCCTATACTACACAGTGTAACTTTACAACATTATCAGTAGAATCCGATGAATACTGAAATGAAACTTTATAAACATTTGATTGATCCATTCTATCTTGTAACCAGTCAGTATCTCTTAGTTACAATGCATTATCCAATTTAAATGTGTTCTGAATAATTATAGAAAATAAAATCCCAGCCAATAAAATACTATCTGACCTATAAAAGCCTAATCTAAACAATGAATTAGACAAAGAATATCAGGTGATTGATTTTGATTTTAATTCCTATGGAAACTGAGAATGCAGCGAAACAAAAAAAAATTACATTAACTTTTAAACAATTAGAATCAAACTGTATGGAAATAATATCTCCTGAAGAAATATTGGATTTTGAACAGAGTATTATTATTATTATTATTATTATTATTATTATTATTATTATTATTATTATTATTATTATTATTATTACTATCATTATTATTATTAATCTATATGGATTTAAGTGTGACGATGTTGGAAAACCTTTTGTATTAAAATTTAACCTACTGATAAAGTTTGTCAGTAGCACAACTAGTAGAACAAAAATAGCCAGGATTACTTGGGTCAACATGCGTCACAAATGAAAGTAAACAGTTATCTATAAATTATAATCACATTTTATCAAAGAGGAACAATAATTAAAATAAATCTATATGAGTTGTTGAATCGATGAATAAGTGGTAAATAGTAAGCAGTTGTAGATTTAGGTCATGAATCAATTGATGTTAGACTACCATTGAAAATCTAGAAGCAGTGGACGGCCGTTTCATCCTATTATGGGACACATAGACGATGCCATCTCACGGGATTTGGGACTAAAACTTTCGGTCTGGTGTACTGTTGAGAAGTCCCTTAATAGAAGCAACCTGCCATCCAGTGCTTTCAGCTTTTCAATGGTGGTTTAACATCAATCGATTCATGATCTCAATCAAAAAGAATAAGTGATACTCTGATCACTATAAGACTCTGTGGACATTAAGAAATATATATTGAAGTGAAATCACTAAGACAGAACGAAAGGGATAAAATTGTGTTATAATTATCATTATCTAATCATCCATATTGAGTAGGTAATTAAAGATTATAGATGTTTCACACTGAAGTTTATCTATGTCAATGACTTTTATTACCGTCTTTTGACGAACGTTGAAACTGTCGCCCACTAGCTAGTGTTCTCAAGGTTACGTACTACAGAAAACTATGGGTATACTTTCAGAGTTGATGTGATATAGTAATAACTGGGTTTATTCCGTTTTTCTCCTCTTATTTGGATTTGGTTATGGCCAGTATAAATTTATTATTCTTAAGGCATGATTTAAAATCATATAAGTCAGTACTTTGAAAAGTATTACTATGTGGAGTACAATTTTTACTTGATTACGTAACTTATGGTAACAAATGGATAGATAAACATGAATAGATTAAGAAATATATATTCTGTGATAATATATTTACTTTTATAAAGGTAATAGGGGGTTTGAAAATCTTTATTAATACAACGAAAGTCTTCTGAAGATATTCAGAAATCTAATACACTTACAAGTAGTAAGAGGCGTTCCTTTGTATCTGAAGCCCATTTGGCGTTACTGAAGGTACAAAGCCTAGGTAAATTAGAGGGATGGAGAGTAGGGTTGGAAAACTCACTTTATAAAGTGGAATCCCATCAAGAAAACTTAACTTGAAGAAATCAATAACATTATACCTTGGGAGTTGAAGGGTTTACAAATGTAAGAGTTGTAATAACTGATTACAAAGGCCGATGTTTATAGAAAGCCACAAAGCCAGCATCCTTTTTAACAGTCTCATTTCTAATTTAACCGTCGTTTTAATAGATTACTACTGAAGAAATAAAACGGTATTAGGTCATCACTGAACTTCATATACACAAGAATTCCTGGACAACTCATTTATCAGAAAATCATTTTTTGTGTGTTTTGCTAATTTCAAAGTAGAATGAACTACTTAACATAAGAACATAATACTCATTGTGTTGAATCCCTTATTGCCAATGATCACATCGTAACTTGGCTAACAGAATTTGATCAAGACTAAGAACTAAACATACACGAACTTGAAATGAATAACTTAATGATGACGTGATATTGAGTGATACTGATTCGTATTCCATAAGAAACATCAATTCCCCAATGATTTTTTAGAGTTTACTGCACATAATGACCTTAATTATTACACCATTAATAAATTGTTTTATCATAGTGTGAAAATACTCTACAGAGCTCATATTCGACTATACCAAGGATCGAAATGCGAACATCCAGTTGTCTTGGTGAGTAAACGATCTTGAAATCAATTATTTGGAACCTAAAGGTTTATGCTTTTAACTTCAATCAACCCCACTATATTGTATGGTCGATCATGTTTCAACAGCCTCACCTTAATTTGTTTAAACATCATTAAAAATAGCTGTCTCATTTAATCTGTTATAGCATCAATGATATTTAATAGATTAGTTTATTGGAAATCAATCATAAAATTATTGATTAATTCTTTATTATAATCGAATCTCCTTATTAATTACCTATAAATCGATCGATTATTATTGTTGTTTCAAGGACTCGATCATTTAAATTTGTTATTCATTAGAGATAAGTATTTAGTGAGTAGTAAGTAATTATGTCATTATATTCTGTTCTACATTCACTTCAATGTTGAAATACTCAATTGGTTACATAACGATGATAAATTGAAATCTTCATTTACATATATGTGTCAGTGTATTTATCCATTTCAAAATGAATGATGATACTACAAATGATCAACATGATCAATTAATGAATATAGTTCATTCCAATGGAAATGTGCATCAATAGGTCAGAACATACATAAAGGAAAAAGTGACATCCTCAAATACAACACACAGAACATCAAAACAATCACACTTGATGAAGAAGCTCTGCAAGTGATGGAAACATTCACGTAACTAGACAGTATCATCGGTGAACAAGGAAGATTGGATGTAGACGTGATTGCGAGGATTGACCAAGCTAGGAAGGAATTCCTACAGTTGAAGAACATATGCAACTCAAATCAAAACTGTCAACCAATATCAAAATCCCAATCTTCAATACGAATATTAAGACAGTGTTACTGTACGGAGCTGAAACATGGAGAACTGTTACAGCCATCATCAAACATGCAGAAGTATTTATAAATAATTGTCTATGCAAAATACTGAACATCTGTTAATTGGATACTATGATCAACAGCCTACTGTGGGAGAAAATAAATTAGCTTCCATCTGAAGAGGAAATTTAGGAAAGACGATGGAAGTGGATAAAACAGACATTGGGAAAATCATCTGATTGCACCACGAGGCAAGCCGTAACTTGGAATCTTGAAGGGGAACTGAAAAGACAAAGGTTAAAGAACACACTACGTCTAGAATTGAAAGGAGATATGAAAAGGATGAATAGCAAGTGGAAAGAACTGGAAAAGATTATTGAGAACAGAGTTGGATAAAGAATGTTGGTGGGTCGCTTATGCTTCTTCATGAAGGGTAACTGGAGTAATCAAGTGAATGTAAACGTTGAACTTGAAAAACTTCATTTTTCTAAATTAATTTTTATCTAGTTTTACATTAATTTCATCGTTAATATTTTAAATGAAATATTACCATCCTACTTATATTATTTTAATGAGTAGTCAGTTGAATTGACAGTTTTAGCAAATATTTTACAGAAGGTAAGTAGATGAAATATTTGTTTGAAAAGTATTATAGTTTATTTGGATCATAAGGGCTTTTTGCGGATATTATAGTAATTTTAATAGTTGAGTTCATGAGTCAATTGAAGCTAGACCACAATGGAAAACCTGGAAGCACTGGACGGCCTTTTCCTCCTATTGTAGGACTCCTCAGCATAGCGCATCCAAAAGTTCGCTTGAGAGACCGATATGTCCTGAGTCTGAGTCTCGCGTGGCGGAAACGTGGATGCGCACTACTGAGGAGTTCTAAAATAAGACGAAACGGTTTTTCATGGTGGTCTAGCTTCAATTGACTCATGATCTGAACTATTTGTTAAATAGAACAAAAATGTTTTATCTTATACATTCATCATCGATTAAGAGTAATGAGTAACTAACATTCAAAATAAACTGATTAAAATCGACAACGTCCAAGAGTTCAGTATAGGTGAATGTTGGTCCGGATTTTAAAGTAAGCAATTAAAATCACATACATTCATAATAATATACGGGATAATGTAATCAACTTCACTTTTGTATTGTTTGTTTGAATCTTGCTATTGATGTGTTGGGACTGCAGTTGACCATTCTTTCTTATTGGCATATGTGCATCTTGTACGGATCACTTCGATATTGCTTTAATACACGAGCATTATAAAGAAAGATGGATAGTGGTTAGCAGTGGAATTGAGGACTCTTGTTTCGTCCTATTTGAGACTCATCAGCTGGATGTACCTGAATGCCAGAGTTGATGTTCACTATGTGACTGATCAATTGCTATCCCAAACGTCGATGGAAAGATTGCACAGACTAGCGGCCATCTGGACTCAATAGGTAATTGGATAAGGCGATGGTGAATATCAGTTTTTTGAGTCTCTTTGAATTTATCCCAATGACTTCAGCTACATAGTTTAAGCAATTCCAAGCATTTCGGTAAATTACTAGGAACTTGATATATGGCTGAAAATGCGTCTTCGATTTTTTATATTATGTCATTAGTCAATGAATGGAGAAAGAATACCACTGTTATTCTTCTGCTCTCCTCGAGTCAGTGCTCACTGGCAAATCTTCATAATCTTTAAGCCCATTTATATATAAATATTTAATAATCAAATGTTACAACGATTCTTTGTTCTTCTGTTCAACGAACTTCTTAACTTTAGGTAAATGAGAAGAATATGAATTGTACTACTTCTACTACCACCATTCATAATAATAATTACCGACCGACTACAATGACATCATTTGTTATGGATGACCAGTTAAAATCAGATTACTGTCTATTCAATGATAGTAATGTTCCAATGGATTTAAGTAGAAACTCCTCATCATCTTTAAATCATTATGATGAATTTAGTACAAGGAAAAACATGTAAGTAAAAAAGATAACGTGAAAATTAAATAACAGTATTGACAAGAGGTCACTCAATTTGTAGTTCTTCTAGGGTTACTGTCAGTTCCAAGCCTGGGTAAAGGATAAAGATTGGACATGAAGTATAACAGCAGCTCTCCTGGAGCTAGTCTTTGTTGTCTAACCTGCGTCCAATGTGTTTTACTGTTTTCAAGCACCTCCAGGTTGTATCTTTTCATTTCTGCAGCACTTTGGATGACTCTCCCGTTCTCCTACATTGTAGGAGCATTCCATATATCTAAATTAATGGTTGCTCTGGTTGTCAAAAAGGACATCAGACTCATAACCTTCGAAGGAACTCGGATTTCATCATGAAGCGTCATAACTCTTCTAAATGAAGACCTTCTAACTCCCACGACAGAGTTTAAATTGTTTCAATTATTCTTTCTGGTTAGCGTTTTTTTTAGCGAGTTAGTTTTCTACAAGATGCTGTTGCTAACCCTATGCCCAACTCTTCTCCTTTAGCCGTGCTTAGGACAGGCAGTAGCCCCAGAGAGACTTTAGGCGTAAGTAACTAAGTAAATCTTCATTGATTAAGATGACTGAGATATGTATTACATGCTCTCATTACTTTATATTTTGGAACTTGTAATCTGATTACTAAAACTCAGTGTTCTATTATGATTAGAAAATTGATTTCAATGTTAGAGAAAACATTGAAAAAAGAACCAGTTTGGTTGATAGTTGAATACATTCCAGTGCAATAAATCAATCAATCCAATTTCACAATTTGAACTGATCAACAGTCAAGTCTTTAACACTGATTGACTAGGAGATTAGTGGTATATAGATGAAGAATGATTTTTGAAATGACTGAAGAATACTCATTATAACCGAATACTATACATTTGAAAGCATCTGGTTTGAATCTTATTAACAATCAAAACTTTTGAGCATGGTTGCTAAGATAAATGAGATAAAGTTCTGGCAATAGTTTATCATTTGATTGATCCAATAGGAGAAAATCCTTCATTCGAAATGATCTATTAATTGTTTATACACCTACTCTTCTTGTTCCAAATCAGTGGTTATAACGTTTCATATAATCAAACTTATTTTGATTAGTTTAATGAATATGACAAGTCGATTATTTGGAGATAAATATTTTATAACTTGTGCTCTGTTAATATGTAACGTGATGATACCGCCCATTAGATAACAATGGATTATTGACCCCCCTACGAGCAGTCTAGAGTCTTTACCGGTCCTACTTCCCGCCTAGCCCAGCGTGTTAAGTCCAGAACACCCATCTCAGCCTCTGTGATGTGCATCATTTATTTCAAACATACTGAGTTTATATACAAACCAAACAGACCACAACGTACCATAAAATAGAAAACAACATTTGTACAAGAATTAGCCAAAAGTGGCTGTGAATGTGGGAGATAATAATTGATAGACCAGGCATAACTCAAGAATGGCAAATCATACAATAATAGTTCAAAGGTCACAATGAAGCTTATGACAAGAGGAACGTGATTATGAATAGTTTAGTTACTTAACCACTATACGATAAAAAATAGATGTAGTATTAGTTCAGAAATAGATTGTAACAGTTACCATTCATTATTCTCATCGGGATATAACAAAATATTATGACTGGAAGTAGATAAGGTTTATACAATAACATGAATCGACTGAAGTTAGAAATTTAAACCATTATATGCCAACTCAGTGGTCTGAAGGCTGATTGCACGTTACAAGGCCCCGAAAGTCTAAAGTTCGGCTCCGGATTTAGTCATGGAAAAATTGAATACAAGGGAGAGTCAATTGTCCAATGTCAAATGTATGCGCGATGTTGAGGAGTCTCACAATAGGAAGAAAAGGCCGTCTAGTAGTTCCAGGTTTTCCACAGTGGTCTAGATTCAATTGACTCATGATCTCACCTATCATAAAAACTACTTTGTTTAAAGTAAAAATGACAATTTTTTGAAAGTTTTATCAACCATTAATACACTACTGAATTACTATTAAACAGACAGTTATTGTTTTTTAAAATTTTATTTTGATCATTTTAGCTGTTGTGATAAATGCATTGATCCTTGGAAAAGAGATGAACATAAATGTGTAAACAACGAAAAGATTGTAAGTAATTTTCAAGCTATTTAGCTACAGATACTTAACGTTAGGGTTATTGAGTCAACTTGAGAATAATAAAAGAGGAAAGAGGCATTAATCAGTTAGAACTTCACAACATCAGTTAACATTCATGATAAAGTTGACGATGATAATTTAGAGAGTTGAATAACTTCACAATAAATGAGTTCCGTTGGCAATGATGTGTCTATTTTCCTTTTCTTTACTAATGATTCAGTAAACTTACACGGCTATTGAGAATATTCCATCTATGTGGTTGTGTATTTTAGATTCAAACAGCCAGTTCCTTAGTGTTTTATGACAATACCATGTAACATGTAATTTGACTTTGGAAGATGTTAAAAGTAAGTAAGAATTTCTTGTAGACTAAATAAATATAAACATATCGCTTTCTTGCGTTCATATTAACACATATCAGTGTTAACAGTAAGTGAGAAACCATGAATAGGGAACAATATGCCGTTGTCGATTATGCATCTAATCAAAGTCTCAACTTCAAATTCCTTGTCTGGGTTATAAAGGGTAACGAGTATGTACACTTATGATTTGTGTACATTTTAAATGGGTTTAGGAATTAGATATTCCTACTAATTCTAATTTCCACGCTTGTACGGTGGGTTTGATACATTATAAAAGTGTATATCGTAACCGAATCAGACAAACAGAACATAACAACTTTAAAATTATGTAAGGCAGTGATTTAGTGTTGGTAAGTGCTGAATGAATACTTTTTTGATATGTATATATATTTAATGAATCGGTTTCAGCTAGACCACCATGGAAAACCTGGAAGCACTGTACGACGGTGTAGTTCTAAACATTAACACCGTTCGATGCTGGCCCACTTGTCCAATAGTTAGGCGCTCAAGTGCAAGACTGGTAGGTCCTGGGTTCGAGTCTAACGGGGGAGAGCGGGATCGTGGATGCGCGCTGTCACGGAAGAGTCCCACAATAGGACGAAACGGCCGTCCAGTGCTCCTAGGTTTTTCATGATGGTCTAGCTTCAATTGACTCATGATTTCAACTACTATTATATCCACAAAACCGCTTCATATATATATATTAACCGAAAATATAAGCAATATTACAGCATATCACTGTTTGTATTTTCAGTGGCGAAAATACTAGGTATCACTACGCCACTATTAAACTGTTTATCCCATTATACTGGTATTCTATTCAGTAGGGATAATTCAACTTCTATGAAACTTCAATTGATTAATTACAGAGTAGTGATTAATATCATGTTCACATAACATCTTTAGTGCTGAATAATTTCTACTGATTAAGTTGCCGTATGACTATTAGCCTCAATTATACAGGAGACCAACGGTGACTCAAAGCAGTCAGTATTAAGGTTTAAAATTAGGGAGCTAAATGACCAAGACTTGAATTCCATACATTATTAGTTGCCTCAAGAAAACAAGTACTCTTTCTTAGAGAGTGCTAGCTAGAAGGGTTTTGTGCCTAACAGCTCCGGTTATCATTCAAACGAAGTTATCAACCAAAACTCAGGTGATTAGTTAAACCTTGGTTAGTAACTAACTACGACACTTTGATATGAAGATAGACAGCAGACTTATAATTCATTGAGAAGTATTTTCTGAACATTCAAATAGTTAACAACAATTAATGAATAGAAAAGTAGTTGCCAATTAGACCTGTGTAACTAAGTATTTTTAATCTCGTTCTAGTAGTCAATTTCAATTAAAAATTTATCTTGTTTTTTACCTTTGTTTCTGCGAAAACACTTTAGATCATGAATAAATATTCTGTAAATAACACACTGAAGGAAAAATTTAATCAATTTATGAATACTACTGATAATTCCGTTTTCAGTAGTAAAAAACAATCATTACCATTTTGTCACAATTCACAATCAGTCAATCCAGAATTATGTCAAACTTATAAGAATTATGACGAGGAGCATCGAAATATATTAACACCCTCAAAAATATCTAATAATAGTGGTAATAATAATACTAATGATCACAAAAGCAGATTTATGATAAAAGATATACTTGAATTTCAGGATCATCCATCATCTGCTAAAGACGACGATGATAATATGAACAATAGATCAAAGATTCGGTCTGAAGAGTCAGTGTACGATTCAAAACCAGTTAAAGAATTTCCTCATCCTAAAATAATATTTTGCAGTGAAAATAACAAATCTGTTAAAAAAATCAGAAATAAACGAACTTCTTTTTGTTCAAAAACACCAACTACTGAAACATTTGAAAGTAGCATATGTTTATCATCTAAAAATATGAGATTAATCCCACATCTTGCAAATAATGTTGATAATAATAATAATTATAATTATAATACAGTTAATCAGATAGAAAAATTTCAATCATATAAGGGAGACGAACAAGAAAATAGAAATGAAGATTCTGACACTGCAAAGATCAGTTTACAAAACACTCCAAAATGTTATTCTCGTCAATATCGCGTTGATTATCAACGATTTGTACAAGATAAGAAACGACAAAATTGTTCAACATGTAATTTGAGTTTTTGTCAACCAGTAGATTTTGTTCTACATATTCAAAAAGTGAGTATACATCTTGTTGAAAGCAACATAATTATTATTATCATTTATAATAATGGGTAGTTTACAAATCACAACTGATTAGTTACTGAGGAGTACTAAACATTTGGTTAGCCTTTCAGTAGTAAACAGATATTGGTTATGTCTCATTGACCAATAGGTGTAAATATTTCAATTCTACAGGAAGTTTTTTTTGCAACTCAGTGGTAACATCTTGAACTGTCAAGTTTGGCGATAAATCTTCGTAACCCACAGAGAGCGTCAATTCGCTTATGATTATAGATATGCCTTGCTGACGAGTGTCAACTAACTCAAAACTTATGTTGAGGACGGTTCTCTGTTAACTGTCTTTATTCATCCAACACACTTCACAAAACGTTAATACTGAATTTTAACGCTTTGAAGAAAAGGGTATACGTTACAATCAGTCGCATTGTAAAACTTGGCACATGTGTTTAAAATCGGTTCAAGTTGTAATAACTTACTCGCACAGAGATATAAAGCTGTCAAGGTCAATCCCAGTGTAGTAGAGATGGCAAACATATTGGTGGTAAAAGAGAAGATCAGGGATTCAGTAAACATTTTAGAAAAGCATAAATCCGTGAAATAAAAAATTCTTGTGGAATTAAGAAACTTAGGGTCTAAGAGGAGACAAAAAGTGGACGCAGCTGCTCAGCGCAAACTATTTTAAGTCACTTTATTCAGAGTTTAGAACTAATGATGATAACAATCACGTGGACTCCAACCAGTTCAACTGTCAATGACTTTATGGACTGGCACCATGATTTGGTTTAATTGCCATTGGCTATCTTCCAACCTGATCCTACACCAGACGTCGTCCGTAGAAGTAAGCGAAGGTTGAGCATACGTTATGGATGTCCTAACCACTTCATTAGATGGAGTTTTGTTACCTCATCATTCGATTCACCATCCTTACTTAGTACCCTATTTCCAATCCAAAAATACACGAGCAATGCTTTGAAGTACGAATGAACTCTGTTCCTAGTGGCAGTAAACTTGTCCTTCGGTTGACAGACGGATATTTCGCCTACATCGCAAGAGAACTCAGTAATAACACAGCTCTCCGAAATGAAACCATTAGGTGGACAAAGGATTGTTTTTTTTTAAAAATTATGGTTACTGTATAAAAAGCAAAATGAAAACCACAGCGGATACAGTTAACAAAGAATTTAAACTCAGAATTTACATGGTAGTAGAAAGGTGCTATAGCTAACTAAAATCAATGAATACATACTGACCTAGTTAAAAGGAATATTACAAATGGATCAATGTTAGACCGCCGTTTGAAACATGGGAGCAGTGGACGTCCGTCTCGACCTAGCATGTGACTCTTCAGCAATGCACATTCGTGATCCTACACGCGTGATTCAAACCCAGGACCTTCAATCTCACGCTCGAACGTTTAAACTTTAGACCGCTAAGCCGGCATCCAACGGCGTTGACGTCTAACCTCAACCAATCCGTGATATTACTCAACCGTCCACCATTGTTTTCAGTGAGTAACAGCCTCACAACAAACACGGTTGAACTCAACTGGTCACGGCTTCTTACTAGAACTCCAGGAAATCTATCGAGAAGGTAGCCACTAGTGAGCACATGATGTCGATCTAAAATAAAAAATCTCCACAACCCTATACTGATAAATATTACGAATCTTACTATTTCAATGTTCAATAAAGCAATGACAAAGATATCATCAGTATAACACAAATCACTTTTTAGCTGATTGTAGCTTGTCATCAGGAAATTCTATTTGACCTGACCATTCATCAATAAGGAGTAACAGTAAACTCAAGGGAACTAACAAAAATTACCTCCAACCACTCAATATCAAAAGAAAAATATCATAAGGGATTTTGTGGATATTATAGTAATCTCGGTGGTTGAGATCATGAGTAAATTGAAGCTAGACCACCATGGAAAACCTGGAAGCACTGGACGGACGTTCCGTCCTAGTGTGGGACTCCTCAGCAGTGCGCATCGACGATCCCATTTCACGAGATTCGAACCCAGGGCCTATCAGTCGTGTACGCGAGCGCTTAACTATTAGACAATTGAGGCGGCATCCAATGGTGTTAATGTCTTACTTCAACTAATCCATGAAACTGAGCGTCACATCCACCATTTTCATCAGTGAGTTACTATTTCATAACAGACCTGGTTGAACTCCACTGGTCACTGTTTCTCACTAGAACTTCAAGAAACAACCTCTTAGAGACTGTCACTAATGAGCATATGTTGATTAATATCCGAAGGGTTTTTTGTAGATATTATAGTAATTTTTTAATAGTTGAAGTTAGACCACTGTTGAGCAGTCCTGTAATAAGACGAAATGGGTGTCTAGTTATTCCAGATTTTCCATAATGATCTAGCTTCAATTAACTCATGATCTCGATTATTAAAATCAAAAGAAAAAACATAATTCATGAAATATTGAGTCCATTAGATTAGTGACTATATTTCAGTTTAATCGATATAAATTTAATCAACACTAATGAAATAAAAAACAAACAAACATTAGTTACTACCTAGTAACTAATCAATTATGCATTAAAAAAATAGTTGCTAATCAATATTCAAAAGAGATTTTTATCAAAGAAGAAATAAATATTAATTTATAACAGATTAATCCATTATTGATTTAAACAAGAAAAAATAGAAAATAGTTGAGAAAGGAATTTATTACTACTTAAATTTAAAAAAAAGTAGATCAATCATCAAATTTATCTTATCAAAGAGACCCCTAAATAGAAGATAGACATTATCCAATTACGGTAAATCTAGTAAACTATTTTTAAAATATTTAGATTTATTCTATAGATTGACCGTTTTGTCCTTTGCTCAAGTTTAATGGTTATAATTATGTTTAGTGTAGGTTATGATAATTCTTAATGATGAACAATTAAGATGTTCTTCTAAATGAAGAATTGGATCTAAGTGAACTGAATACATTAGACGATTAATAGACAACATATACTGAATATATATGCGACATACAAGTCACTTGATTTGGGTGTGAGCTGTGATACTGTTCGGGTGCCTTGATCGAAGGAGGCCAAACGTGGAACCTTCGACTTAAAGGTATGATCCACAAGAATGTGGAGCAATGTCAAAAGATGAAGTCCTATGGTAGCCGATAACCAACAATTGGTTCATACACCATTTGTTCTTACAAGATACTGGGGCCCATATGCACCATTGGTTTGGAATTGGGGGTTTTCAACTCCCCTAGGTGGACTCTTCATGTCCACCAACCCGGTTAAAGCGCCAGACATTCGATTATTGTCCTTTCAATTTCGTAAACAACACCCTCGCCATGAGGAGGCAGTGAGTAGGACTTTCCTGGCAGAGGCTATATACGTGTGGCCATGTGAGAGTATTTTGAGAGGGTTCTCTTCCCACTCTCAGCCGTACCGGGGCATTGGGGGACATGAATTGTATAGATATGATAAAATTGCGATAATATATATACAATTCATAGATATTGTGACAATATTATTAGTCGTGAGAACTACTATCTGTCAAGAAAACAACTTGAAGAACTAATGTTTTGATAATGATCGACCTCTCATTGCGACGGCCAGACTGGAATAACTATGTATCACATGTCAAAGTACTATGAAAAAAGCCAACTTCCGTCATAACACTATTCTTTCTAACAATTCATCTTCCTATTCTATTTATAACAATCAGATTTAGTAGTATAATAGGACTATTATTAATAAGTGGTTATTTGTCGTACATATATTTCCACAGTATAAACCGCCAGCTAATCTCAGCTAGACCACCAGTGAAAACCTGAAACATTGGAAGACTGTTTCGTCCTAGTGTGGGACTCCTTGGCAATGAGCATCCACGATCCCGATTTGAGGAATCGAATCTAAGACTATCGATCTCGCACGTGCGCTCTTAACCTTCACATAACTGAGGAAGTATCCAATACTGGACATGTTTACCTTCAAACAATTCACGATATTCAACAGCTACCATCCATTGCCTATGTTATACGACTGTCTCATATCCAATCAAACATTGTAAGTTCAATTCCCGAATGCTGGATTGTGGATGCACACTGCTGAGAAATCGCATAAACAGATTAGTCTGTCGTCCAGTTCTTTCACAATTTCAATAGGGTTCTAAGATCACTTTATGATTCAAACTATGAAAATTTTACAATCTCCACAAATTATCTTATTCTAATACTATACTTATCCTTGTTTGCCAGGTTCATCTTGGATTAAAATTGACAAACAATGAAAATAATTTAACAAAACCTTTAAAAGAATCACTACAATCAAACAAAAATCACACATGTAAATCTCAGAAAATACATAGAAATGTTGACGATACTGGTGATATCCATATTGTTACTAACAGTAACGATAATGATCATGAAAGGGATCAAATGAGAAATAATGAAGAGGGTAATAATCATCCTTTATCATTGAAATCAACAATCGATCGTAATACAAGAAAAAGATCTTATAAATCCATAAAAACCATGAAGAAATATTGATGCAAGTACGATCATACCTAATTAATCTTTTTTGTATTAACATAGTGAAGTTTGACTGATATATGTGCACAAAGTGTTCTTTTTTGTCATCAGAATAGTGTAAATATACATATGTTTTCATAACATTATCTGACAGGTATCTACCTCAGTACAGTGGAAGACGGTCGTGCAATCTTGTGGATTAGTTGAGGTTAGACATTAACATCATTGGATGCCGGCTCAGTGGTCTAGTAGGTTAGGCGTTTGCGAGCGAGATTGATAGGTCCTTGGTCCGAATCTCGTGAAGCAAGATAGTGGATGCTCACTGCTGACGAGTCCCGCAATAGGATGAAATGGCCGTTTAGTGCTTTCAGGTTTTCTATGGCGGTCTAACATCAATCAGTTCATGAACTCAATCAAAAACTTAATAATCTTCACAATCGTATATTGGAAGTGTTTGAGTTAATCAGTTGATGATATAAGAAACTGGAATTTAATCAATTTTTGTTAAGATTATCTGAATATAGCCACTTTGATATATTATCTGAAACAGAAAGATTCCGATTAGTAGTAGAATCCAAGATGGGGGTTTTGTTCGTACAAGATGAACATATGTTAATAAAGATCAATCAAATTTTTAGTGCTGAATATCAACAATGGGATAATTTAAATCATTACTAACATTGACTTGAAAATCATACTGCTTTAACCAGTGGATAGCTTTCTAGATTCAGTAGCTCAGTGAATAACGAAGTACATATTTAAAGCAAACAATACTGGGTTCGATCCCTAACGTAGACTTAGACAATCGGACGAAATATGCGTCTTGGTTTCCACTCCCATCCACAGTTATTCTGTTCTAAAAAATTCATAATTTCCTCGTTTCCTATAGTAGTAGTATGTAGATTTTAACAGAAATGATCATCAATTTTTTTACATCTGTCACTTAACAGTATTAATAGGATTGAATAGAATCCATTAAAGAGTAAAATTATTATAATTTACAGAATAATTTAATCAACTATGTTGTAATTAAACACAAATCAATTGTATTTTAAAATTTCCTATCTTTCCGCTTCATTGAGCTCATTTAGTGCACAACATGATTCCTGGTGATAATAACCTCTAGACCACTCAGCCGGAATTCATCGGTGTTAATGTTTAACTTCAACCCATCTACTTGTCAGGTAGAGATATGTATCTACCAGAGACAATGGAAGATGGTCGCGCAATTTCGTGGATTGATTGAAGTTAGACATCAACACCACTAGATGCCATCTCAGTGGTCTACAAGTTAGGCGTTCGCGAGATGGATCGCGAATGCGCACTGCTGAAAAGTTTCGTACTAGGACGAAACGGCCATCCTATGCTTCCAGGTTTTCAATGGTGGTCTAACATCAATGGATTCACGATCTCAATAAAACATCTTAACAATCTCCACAACCCCATATTGATGATAATAATAACTTTAATTTCATCATGAATAGGAAAATCAATGAACACACGAATAAACCATAATGTTTCATATATCTGAGAAACATTTGATACTAAATTTAATCTGTTAGCACAATTAGATGTACATTGAACAAATGATTCACTTTCACAGCATTGATGCTACAGTATAATTTTAGATTATCGGTTTCAACTTGTTATGAGGTATGAAAAGCTTGGATTCCATTTTCTACAAGGGTAGCGAGTATGCAATGATAGGTAGTTCCCTGGCTAGCATCAGATTGTGTTGTGAAACTGATTTTTTTTAGGACAATCTTACTTCTGATGGAATTCAATATTTGTGACAAATGTTAGGTTGTCATCGGTAGTCAACAAAAAATATTGTCAGTTTAGGGGTTGTGGAGATTGTTAAGTTTTTGATTGAGATCATGAACCGATTGATGTGAGACCATCATTGAAAACCTGGGAGCACTGGACGGCAGTTTCTTCCTACTCTTAAACCAGTGGAGCTAATCCGTGTCGGGTAGAAACAGAAGTCTACCTCAGTACAATGGAAGATGGTCGCGCAACCTCATAGATTGGTTGAGGTTAGACATTAACGCCATTGGATGCCGGCTCAGTAGGTTAAGCGTTCGCGCACGAGATTGAAGGGCCTGGGTTCGAATCCCGCGGGCGGGATCGTGGATGCGCACTGCTGACGAGTCCCGCAATAGGATAAAACGGCCGTCCAGTGCTTCCAGGTTTTCAATGGTGGTCTAACATCAATCGGTTCATGATCTCAACGAAAATATTGTTTTATCTAGGTTTCACGCTAATCAGCATTCATATATAAAAATACATCTGTAATCTTAAGGCAACTGATGGGTCTCATGGGATTTTAAACATATGTAATCCGTATTCACAGTCCTATATATTACCACTAAGCTGTTTTGGTGCCAAATAAATCCTTATAACACCGAGATAATTATATTGATATTGAATAGTGACCAATGTCATTTTGATCTAGTCCTTTGGTGGTGATCAAATTCTATCGGTCACAGTGTTATGTGGTCTCAGAATTGAGGACAAGCATGGCACTAATCGTTAACTACTCAGCAATCAATCAACGTAACTTGTACAAAATATAACCTTGATTTGAGCATACATATATTCATGTGACAAACAGATAATTAGAACGTGTGGTTTATAGGCTAGAAATGTATTCATTTCAGTTATTAAATGGTTTTCAATAAGATAACTAAATGACGGATCTAGGCCTTTCAGTATTGTATTTAAAAGGATAAAGATAAACATCAGGACTTGATTACAGTTAATACTAGTTGCAAGAACAGTAGTTGTTTGATTATAGTATCCTAGTGTTCCAACGGAACTATTCGGATGTGAAGTACTAATTCATGGCACATACATTTAAAAATTCCTTTAAAACCAGACTTCCACGTACATCGTCTTATCATGTTTTATCGTCCATGTTGTCCCCTATGTAAGTAATTTTTGGTTTGTCGGCAAAAAGAAATCATACGAAGAGAATAAGATGAATATACTCTAAACTTCGATTTAAGGTCTCAAGTACATGTATTTAGTAGACAGACTACACAAATTACAACCTTGATAAATTGGTTTGGGACTAGTCCATTGGATATACCTATATTCCAATGTTGATATTTTACGTTGAGACTCGGATCCAGCACCTTTTGTTTTAAATGTCCAACGCATGTTCCATTAGGCTACTGAGTTTAGATAGCCAATAGGCATGATGTTGTTTTTCTTATCAGTAAGAGCTTGAATTATCACACTGTTGATAACACGAACTGAATTTCGATCAGTTTTTGTTGCCAAATATCGGGATTGCCTTGATTTGTCCATTTTATTAGTTTTATAGGATAGGCGGATTAGTCATTTGAATAAAGACTGATTACTTAGGTCACATTGATTCAATACGGTAAGCGTTTAGAAACGATAAGAGAGACTAGCAACCCTAAGAATTCAGTTCAAATACTTAATGGAGAGATCATATATACCAAACAAATGACAGTGAAATCGTTTTTCTGAGTTGGTCAGAATAAACATTTAATTGTCTGATTAAAATATGCTTAATCCAAGCTTTTAATACTTCACTCCTGTATAAATTTATTAAGTTAACAATGTACAAAACTGATTTTTCAATGTGTTAGAAACTAATATCAAGCTCTTCAGACAAAAGCAAATGATGATGATGATGATGATGTCGGGTTGTTATAATTCTCTTATTACAACCCAGTTATTCCTATTGCTTAGTATTGTTGGACACCAATTCACTCAACAAGTTCCAAATCAGAACACGGTGGAACGAGAACGAAATAATATTCCAAATAACAAGGGTAGATGAAAGTAAGAAACACAATAAGAAAAACGATAGTATATTTATAGTTTCTACATGAGAAGATTCTAGAGTCTTCTCTAAGTATCAAATAGTGCTGATTGGTTAAGAATTAGCCAATCAGTGTGCACCAACACAATCGTGCATGGAAAATACTTTGATCCAATCTATGTCCCACTAACACATGTTTATACCTATAATCTAAACATGGTAAACAAAGTGCATGTTGTGACGTGTGGTATCAGAAATCTGATACTGATACATTGTGTACTACGCGTTAACGCCCCTTCCTCCAAACTGACTACTTGAATGACTCTCTCTCCATATTAGTGTATTATTTTCAAACTATTGAGAAACATCTTCATCAAGACGAGTTCAGTAATAACTTTAGTAGAAAATTGAGAGAACATTTTTTCCAATCCAAAGAAAATAATTTTTATTTGTATGTAGTTGAAAATGATACAAAATGTGAAATAAACACAAGCATAAAATAACTTCTAATTGTATTCATTATTTATTCTTTCTATTCATTGTTAACATTTAACGTACAGTTGAACCAGGTGGAACATCATCTGATACAATAATCCATTTATTACCACATATTGAACCTAATCTCCAATCACGCCATTGAATATATTGATTAATAGATGTTGATAAATCTGGACATAATTGTTCCCATAATTTTGTTTTAGATGATAATAATTTATCTGGTTCTCTAAATGATAATGATAATGATGATGATGATTTCGAATTATCAACTACAGAATGAAAGACAAAACGTTCACCTAATATAGGATTTTGTTTATTTGATAAATGAATTGGTTGTACTTTTAAAAGTGATGAACTCTTCTCAGTATATGAAGCACAAAGTAACATAGCCTAGGAAAATAACATTTGAAAAAGAATATATTAGAAACAGTAGAGATGATAAATGATTAACATAATAGGATGACGAAGAGTGTAAGTGATCTAGTGATTAGGCGATCGCGCGCGGAACTAATAGGTTCAGAGTTCGAATCCCGCGAAGGGGCAGGATCTTGGATGCGCACTGCTGAGGAGTCCCACAATAGGATGGAACGGCTGTCCAGTGATTCCAGATTTCCCATGGTGGTCTAGCTTTAATTGACTAATGATCTCAACCATTGAGATTACTATAATATCCACAAAAACCTTTCTGATATGAAATACTTATGCCTCCATTACTCTCGTTTTGTGTCAGTTATTGTGACATTTTAATTTATTGCATGTGTTACTATGTGATCAAATGCCTTAAGCATATTACTATATTATGGTGTGTTACTTATACCGAGAGATATAAGTAGTATATGTCAGGGACTGGAAGTAGGATTCTTACTGACAGAGGAGAAGAACAAAAGCAGTCAGAGATTAGTAACAAGAATGGAAAAACAACGGAGTTTGTACGAGACAATTCAAGGAAGATGTTCAGATAGTGTATTCAATGTATTGTTCTCATATTTTACAAATGCAGTGTGTGATTTTACATAGTAAAATAGATTAAAATTCTTCTGCTAAAGTCTTAGTTCATTAAAACATGAGTTCCGAGTTATGACTAAACTGAATACAACAAAAAATTGATCTGATTTCGATCTTTATCTTCTGATTGGCTACTAGGTTGGAAGGAGCTCGAGGACCCATATGCGCCACCATCTTGCTTTTTGTTTATTAACTGAAGTGTCGATTGGTAAACAGACCACCGGTCTTACTGACAATCTAAGTGGACTTATCGATAATCATATTAGACAGAGAGAAAGAGAGCATACAACTGCTTGCTTGTCATCACGGCCAGACTGCAAAAAACTCATCCAACTAAAAAACAATCTATTGTTGTCGTCCAACATAGATATACATTGACAACGATTAGATGAGTAATTACTAGATTTGAAAGTGCTAAATTCAATAGTGGATACCCAAAACAAATGAGTACCATATTAAAACGAAACAGTTACTCCGTGTTTTTTGACTCATTTTTCATAATGGTTGTTTGGATCTATCCGTTGATGTTTGGGGACTGCAATTGATCGGTCTCTTTTTGGTAAATGTGCATCCAGAGCGGATTGCCTCGACATTGTTTAAAGTTACAAGCATTCTGTAAGCAGAGATGATGGTGACTAGCAGGCGAATTTAGGACGCTCATTTCATTCTATTTAGGAATCGTTAGCTTTATTTACGACTTCTAAATAGGACGAAACATGTGTCCTGGATTCCATCATTCATCTCTACTTACTATCCAATGTTCACGTTTTCTTTTGTTTTCCAATCGTTGTCTGACTAAGGTCAGTTTATGATACAAACAATAAACAACTTTTTTAAAAGGTACATTCTGTTTAACAATCAACAAATAGAACAAACAGCAAGTTTTAATGTGTTTAAGTAGCGTTTTTCTTTTAATTCACTTCAAAGGTTGATAAAAGTGTAGTTATGTAGGCCTCGAAATCTATTACTACCATCATTTTGCATATATATATATCGAAAAAAGAGTAAACAAAACTCATCAAGAACGACGTGATGCTTATTATTATTACTACTTACCTGAGATTCAATTCCACGAATTTTCACCGGTTTTAAATTAATCACAAATATACCATAACAATTGAGTAATTTTTCCATAGGATAAAGACCAACCAATCCACTAATCACTGTACGTTTACCAATACTTGAACCGAAATCCACTTCTTCAATAAATAAACTATCAGCATTTGGATGCTTTAAAAGAACAATACCATATCACCCGTGCCACCCCACAAATGAGAAAGATAAACAATTACACATAGAATGATTTCTTTTAAGTGTGATTGACAAAGTAAATAAATCCAGTCCGGATAACCAGATACCTAGAATGGATATTATAAACCCCTTCCCTTCCAATTCCTCATGTGTTTATATCTTACTTAATATACAAATTCATCTTTCCTAATTATTGTCACCTCCATTAACCAGGCAAAATTCTCCTACTATGCATTTTATTCATACGATTGTTTTATTATATTACAATTACATTCGATGGTGGGCGGCCTATGCTCCTTTACGAGGGCTAACAAGCATAAGTAAGTACTATTATATTGATAATAACTTGACACTTTACTACAAATCATTCTGACGTTTATTAAATGACCTTTTGAATTTACAAATAACACTATCTTGAGGTACTTATATCGTGACAGATGATAACGTTCATCATTTTTAACATATAACATTGTTAAACTGATTCACGCACGCCTTTACGTTGGTCTTAGTAAAATATCACAATAACTATGAACTTATAACTGTGGATCTTGATGATGAAGTTATTGTGAAAACAATCGCTTACTCAAATATTCTTTGTTTTTGAAATAAATAAATGCTCAAAGTAAAAAAAATATAGAGAGAGGTGATCCAATAGAAATCGAGAGAGGAACCAACTTTTGGGAGAATTTTTTCGAAATCAATAACTTTTTGGCATGATTATAATTTACGAACCAAGATAAAGAGTCTTGTATTTTGGTGCAAAATTTATTCATCCACATGGTTGAATAGCATCTGAGCATTATAGCTGATGTCATTTGGTGATGAAAAGTTCTACTTCAATTCCTAACCCTAACGTGTAATCTGGATACTACTTCCTCATACTAATTTATAACTCTCTTTAAACATTAATAAGTAGATAAATTTTATCAACATGGGGATTTGTGGAAACTGTAGTAATTTTAACAGTTGAATTCATGAGTCAATTTTGGCTAGACCACCAGTGAAAACCTAGACACTTTGAGCTCCCGTTTCGTCTTAGTATAGAACTCCTCAGCACCGCGCATCCACGATCGCGTACGCGGGAATAGAACCCAGGACCTTCGGTCTCGAGTGAGGGATCGTGGATGGGCAGTGCCGAGGAGTGCCCATACTAGGGCGAAACAGCTGTCCAATGCTTTCAGGTGAATCACTTTAGCATCGCCCAATTGATCGTTCGAGAAATTAACCGATAGTGAACAATATTTAGTGGTCATTTTATCACGTAATACACACGGGTGAATCAGTTCAGCGTCTTAGTTTACTTAAGTTTATGTGTAGTGAATTTGTAAGGAAATCCTCCTATTAATGATTTATTGAATTAATAAGAGAAACCTGGTGAAGTGGGGAAAAAATGGTACAAATAAATTAACGATTTACATATCAATACGAAAACATTATTGAATCTTAAATCATTTCATTATTGTAACTCATCAATTAATTGATCTATAAAAGGTGTTGAGGATGAAGTAAGATTCAGAAAGAAACCTCAGATGTGAATAAATTTGTACTTAGATTATTGAGGTAGCCGCTTAGTGATTACGATGTTTAACTTACAACTATTTAGTTGCTTTCACGTAATTCAGCTTGAGTAACTGGAGAATATCACTAGGTCTTTATTACATAATGTGTAACTCACTCATACACGAATTTGTTACTTATGCGTTTTATCAATGAAGTCTACAAACATGAGATCAGAAGATTGATATAATAAGGCCTTGAAAAACTAATAAATTTCCTATAATCATTAAATTATAATAATTTTGTTACTAAACACTTTTGATTTACGAAAACCCTCTAATGATTGGTTGAAAATAAGTTTTAAAATTACGCGGTAATTTTGAGAACCATTTAAGCTTTTCTCTATACGTTCCATATGTTACCAGTATAAGTGAAATATTTGAGAAAAAATAAGTGATATTCGTATGCCAACTAGGTGACTATTAAATGGATGAACATTTTCTGTGAAATCGTTCACCAACATTGAGTGTGAAAGTTATTGCCTTGTAGCAATTATGATATTGAGTAATTTCACACTCTATACATCACACATTACAACTAAGAATATGGACAAACGATGATTACAGTATTACTGACCGTCGCCGCGATATCAGAAGGTTGTAGTAAGATGGTACCTATAACTAGGACAAAATAGATGTCTTGTGCTTCTTGCTTCATAGACTGATATCACATTTTCGTTAGGTATATGTGATACGTACCATTAACCACTTTATTTGATGAAGATTCACAATCTTATCGACTGACTTTCTATCTTTCCCTAATAAACTGCACCTAGCCTTATAGCACTATTCAACATAATAGTCCCAATTTAAACAAGAGATCAGTTCAAAACCAATTTATGAATAAATTAAATGTCGATTAACAAATAGTTAAGCGCACATATATACATACAGACATACATATTCACATCTAAATAACCGTAATAAAACGAAATGATCCGAAGAGAGAAAGCTAACCATAATTATATTACTCACTATTTTAACTGATAAGATTAAGCCAACTCGTATATCCAAACGATTTGGATTGAGTTCATCAGTTGAATTCACTGGTAATGATGGTGATGACAATTTACTGCCGCTTAATTTTGGGGCAACTGGAAAAAAAGAGATATAAAGCAATAGATAACAAGACGAATAATAATCATAATGAAATCAATCACTATATTCAATCACCTCGAGTTACTTTTAATAAATAAGTCTTAGTAAAACTAGGCAATAATATATTGTAATAAATTACCATTTTGAGATTCATGCGGCTAACTGCCTTGCTCCTAGGACATATTTTCTTTAGAACATAACATATACATTAGATCTGATATATTTTTATTCTAATATATAATCTCTTGTTATTTTTTCAAAGAGCATAACGTGATGTAGAAAATATACTAATCACCACGATGGTTCAATGTCTCAATCTAGCAATAATTGTAACTAACCGGTGTCACGTGTTTGCCTAGCTTTTAGTGTTGATCGAATGCTAACGATCAAGTTACGATATAGCCCGCAACTTGTCCAAGGAACTCGACAAATCACGCACACTATGTTGAGATGCTAAGTGGTTGGAGGCAGTCAACCATAAACTAAGAAGCTGTTTTGTGCGAATCGGTACGCATCAGTAAAGCCTACCACAATCAGCACAATGAAAGGTCAGTAGTTCCTTTAAGGTTGTAGGTACAATCTTGCCGACTAACACCAGCTAAATAACAAAGCAGCAATAATTATCTTCGTGAAAAGGTTCAAACTAATTATAAGACCTTATAAGCCGAGATGGGTGGTGATTAACAGTAAGATCCAGGACGCTCATTCTGTTCCTTTTGGGACTAATCAGCTGGGTTTACCTACATCCCGTAGTCAATATTTACTTCAGGGCATAAACCCAGTACCGTTCACTTCAAATGCCACCGCGTCATCCTACTTAGCTACCGAGTCCAGATAGCGACTGGCTTGTGAAGTGGGTCGATCAGATACATCCAGATGACGATCCCCCCCTAATACAAATGAGTTGATTATAAGACCGGTTAAATACAAATTAGGTGTTTATACTGTATAATTAGTTATCTCTTTTAAAAGTCTCTACATCAATGTCTGTTATCTATTCGAGAGCCGTATTCAAGAGTTTAGTGAAGTACTACAAACTCGCTCTACATTTGTCGCTTTAGAAAGACTTTTCACGTGCGTTTATCCGGGGACTCTGAGGCCTTTTCGTCTAGTTTTGCTTGAGATGTTGTCACACTAAGCGATAGAGAGGAAGCACCAATGCTCGACTGGATCTTCATTAGCAATCTGTTATGTGTTATTCGATTAGAAAGTTCCATCAACGTATGAAGAAATAGGTGTGAGAAACTATATCTTTTCGTCATCTCCGACTACACTCAAACTGATTGCAGCCCGGATACGATCATGAATGAGTTTTACCACCAGTTAAATTTCCTTCTAATGAAAGTGCGTTCAACAGATATCGTGGTACTAAACGGAAGCTTGAATGATCAGGTCGGGCGTCTAGGCACAGAAGACAATTGTCTAGGTGGTCGATGGAGACTTGTTGATCGCAGGTCAGATAACGGTGTCCGTCAACTAAAACTGTGAGCAGACCATAACCTGCTTCTGGCTAGCACTAACTAACGGCACAGTCATCACTAGCACTGAATTCGTGTGTGAGCTGGGATATTTTCCAGCCGCCCAAATGGAAGTAGACGGTTTTACTAGGGGGCCACGACCCAAGCGTTTGACCTAAAGGACTAATCCACAAGGCGGTGAATCAAAGCTAAAGAATTCAGTCTAATGGTAGTCAATGATCGACAATAAGTTTATACGCCACTTATTCCATCAGGATCCTGGAACACATATGTACCATTGGCTTGGAATCATGGTTTTCTAACTACCCTGAGTGGGTTCTCCGAACCCATTAATCCGTTTTGGGCGCCAGACATTTGCTTTTCGTCCTCTCGATTTTGTAATTAACATCTCTACGGCTAAAAGGCAGTGAGTAGAAAGAGATTAGACATAATTTTCACATACTATAATCTACTATGTTGTTGGTTAATTGATTTAATAGATACAGATTCGTGTACTTGCTATTAAGTTACACTCTATGTATGACTTTGAAGATCAGTATAGTTATATTCAGCTTTTAACTGAAATAAGTCAATTTTTAGTGAAGGAAGACTTGGTATGGAAGACTAATTTATTCACTGAATACAAATTTACAGAGTGTTTTGACAAAAATATGAAAACCATACATTGAATACATTATTTAAACATCTTCCTTCAGTAAACATTCCATTTCCGATTACGGCTACATACTACTTACATGTGTCAACATAAATAGCATAAACCATAGATTTAGATGATCAACTTGTAACTGAATCATTAAAATAAAAGTCAACTCATCTAATTACATAATTCATTATTAACAATAATTTTCAATGAAATAAAATAACGCTTACTTTCTTCTGGTTTACAAGAACCTTCAGGAGATACAATCTGCTGCTGATGTTGTTGTTGTTGCTGATGGTGATGATTATCGAGATTTGGCTTATGTTCAGTATTATTTAACATTGAATGATTTTTTGATAATTTATTATTTATTTTATTCTTTTGAGATTTACTTAAAGGAAATGCTTCATTTAATAATACCATTAATTCATTCCAATCTGGTAATGATTGTTTAAGTCGATTAGCTAAACTATCAGTATTTTGTATTGATAATAAATATTCAACAGTTGGTTTTAAATCAGCTGGATGTAATGTACCATTAGAAAAGTATTGTTTTAATAAATCCCATTCATTAAGTGTAGATGATTGAGATTTAATATGTAATGGACCACCATTTTTCTCTGAACGTGGAATAATAAAAGGTTCTAAAGTAGAAAGAAAGAAATACAAGAGAATTAATCACGAAATAGTCGAAAATTACCCATCAGTTAGTCAGTCAGTAACAACGTAGAACTTCGTACGTACGTACATCAGTTCGAGTTGACATACCACATTAGCACAGAGATACAGTTGTTGATTCAAATCCCATATTGCTAGAGGTAGTAAAAGTATGAGCAGTAATCAGAACTATGAGAGTTTGAAGATGTTATTCAAGTAGTATAATACAGTGAAGTAAATTTGGAAACATAAAAGAAAGGGACAGGAAGAATTCAAAAGATTATAGTTTGGGAGAACACAAAGAGTTGACGTACCTGCTCCATTGCAAACGATTTTGAGCCATGTCATTCAACGTCCCTAAATATGGATTGCTATTATCTCGCGGATCCCAACCAGGTAGTCTACACCTACCAACATGGCTCAGTCCACTTGCCAGTGACTTCATGGATTTGTGCCATGTTTTGATCTGGCCGCCCCCAGCTTTCTTCCAACTTACACTATCCTACACCATAAAACATCGCACGCCAGGGCAGTCGGTGGTTGGGCATACGTAACACATGTCCCAGCCATCTCAACTGATGAAGTTTCACTACGTCATCAATTGATTTACCATCCTTACTTAGTACCCGTTTCCTAACAACTGTATTGCTTACTCAGTGGTCCCAGGATATACGAGCAATGTTTCGAAGACACCTACGATCGAATACTAGTAGCCTACGAATATCCTCTGCTCTCACTGGTCACGTTTCACTGCGCAGTCAACCCATCCTTTGACGGGTAGACGGATATCTCGCCTACGTCATAAGTGACGCAAATTGGCAAAAGCTAGTCGAGCATTCTGTATCCGTGCTGAGATTTCGTCACAAATCAGGCCATAAGGGCTGATGAGACTCCCAAGATAAGTGAAGCAGTCGACACGCTCAACTATTTCACTCCCTATCATAAGTTTGGGCGACGATGCAACCCAATCCTGAAGCAACATTTTGCATTTCGAGGGGGAGAATCGCATCTCGAACATGCTTGCATTGTTACTTATAGTAGTCAGAAGACTCTGTATTACCCATAGTATAAATTGAGAAAAACATACATAAATATAAGTGAACAGTTACATCTGTATCCAGGTTCATTTTCATATACACTAATTAAGGCGATTTATGAGTTAGAGAGTATATCAACTTAGATAGTTTGGAAAGATTTGACAAAATAAACACGCAGTTAGGTTTTATTACACCGAATTGATAGAGGTCATATTACGTAGACAAAGTTAAAGGATTCAAAGTGGTATATTGTAAAACTTATCGGGTTCGTTCTCATCTCTTACATATAATAAACACCATAAGGATTCGAGCTAACAACCTTAATTGTTGTCTTCAAGAAACAAGACTTTTGTAATATCTCTTTCCCCTCGTTGACCGAAAAAAACCTAACAGATAATATTACTAATTCTTTCGATTATTTGTTTTTTTCTTCACCGTTTTCATACTCGGACTGACTATTGACACATTTCTGATCACGTAACATTTAGTGATTTTTATTTTGACAACTTGAATAGTTGTTCAGGTTTTGAGCATGTTATCATACTGTCTATAGTTCAGGAATTTACTAATCAACCGGTTACATTAGTGTCGCATTGTACATCTTACTGATTATGATAAGGGAATTTTTAGAGATATTTGAATTTTCAGTCTAGATCACGAACTGATTTTAGTGAGTTGAAAAGTTTGGAGCAATGGTTGGCTGTTCCATGTGAGTATGAGAGTCCCAAGAAGTGTGCATCACGATCCTTCCGTCCAGGAGTTGAGCTAACTCTTAACCTCTAGACCACTCAGTTGGCATCATACAGTGTAAATGTCGAACTTCAATCAATTCATGATATTTAGCAATTTCCATCTATAGCCTATGGTGGGTAACTGCCTCACACCCGACATGGATTGAGCTACACTGATCACGGCTTCTCATTAGAACTCTTTTCTTTCGTTACCATTGTTCGATAAATTGATTTCGTTGGTGTAATATTTCTCATGTATGCACCATATAAGTACTAATATGAAGTGTTGGTTTATTGGTTAAAACGTCCTAATTTCTGCTACTAAAGTCGCAAGTTCGAAACCCGCTCCAGTTATTTCGGTTTTGGAAACCGGGTAGTAATACAGAGGTTCGGCATCGTGTGTTCGGGCACAGAGACGATAATGCAATCGGTGTCACCATCTTGAAACACCGACTTCGGTGGCTTGGACATGTTCTACGAATGTCGTCCCAGAGAATTCATGCATCAGTTACCGACGCTGGGACTGGTTGGAAAAAGCGGAGAGGTGGTCAGTGTGTGACATGGTGTCGGGTGTGAATGAAAGCTGCAAATGACTGGCTTGTGTTGGACCTTCACGACTCCCTGGCTGGGGTCCTAGAGATGGTGCAGCACTGGCTAGAGACGTTATCAGATATGGCTCAGAATAGAAGCTAGTGGTGATCCTGCTGTAACCTTCTTTTACTTTTTTCATAAAAAATGGTTGTTTCTTCCTTAACTGAAAGATTTCTTCTGATTGTACCTTTCCGTTTCCCCCATTATTACTATTATTATTATTACACTACCTTACACTAATCTGTTCGTTATTGTTCTCTTTTTTTACGCTCGTTACTCTTTTTTCTCTTCGAATTCTCATTGTTTTGTGTGGCGCATATATATTTGGTGCCCTCTTGTACCAATATTTATGTGTTCAAAACAAATAAATAGTAGTAAATAAACAAGTAACCTGCGTACTTTTCACCTTACCATTTTTTTGTTAACATTGGAATATAATAAGTACCGTTTATGTAAATCAAGTTACATTTGTATCAGTTTAAGGAAGTTGATTAGTAATAATAAAAACACTGCTTACCGTCATGTAAATGAACTTGTATTAGGTATATGAGACGGGGTTCGGACTTGTGACCTCTTATTACGTAATATAATATTAAGATTAAAAAAGTTAGCAAAAGGATAAAGAGACGGACATGATCTAAACATAATACACACATAAATAATACCTCCAGGCGACAAATCTGGAATTAATACCCAACGGCATATATCCAATATAGGATTTATATCAACATTATTCGGTTGACAAAATGCACGTTTAATTCGACGTTTTAAACCAGACAGTGGGGATTTTTCTAAGGATCCAGGTAAAGGTGGTTCAATTAAAGGTAGATAATTATCTTCAAGCAATGCTGCTAGTGTTTTAGCCGATGCTGGTCCTGTACAGCGAGATGATAAAGGACATGATTTCATAGGAGGAAATGATGATAATTCACCAATTTGATTAGTTGGAGCTTGAAGACTAATGAGTATTGGATGTGTAAGATGGATAGTTTCAAAAGAATTAGGAAAATGACGTAGGAACTGTAAAGAAAAATACAAATTGTATAGTGAGCAATTTTATAAATAAAAAGTCATACAAACCGTCTATAAACTTCAATAGTAATAATAAAGTGTTCAGTCAGTCAGTAACAACGTAGTACTTTGTACGTACGTACATCAGTTCGAGTTGCCATACCACATTAGCACAGAGAATAATAATGTGTTAATTCTGTACAGTTCAAAACTTGTCGTAGGTACAGGAAATCTGAGATGTGTTACCATTAGGGTTGATCTTTTCTAAACGCCTCCTTCTTTTGTAGAAGAATAGGATCGTGCTACATAATGGCTATTTGAGAGAAATACATTGCAACCATCATACTTCAGTAGTATAAGTTGATCCTTAGACCACAAGTTTATTGCTTTCAGCATTGCAGTTGTCCAATGAACTTGTATAATATGGTGGAAATATTAATTCATTACATTTAACACCTTTAATACTTTTAATTTTCGTGACAAAAAACAGCTTAATCCATTCACGCTATAACCTAATGCTAACTTACTAATTTTATACGGTTTTATCTGTATACAAACAGTCTTTTATTGTTATCGCTTATAATGTATAAATGAGTATTATACTCTTTCTATTACATCATCATGTCTATTCAGATCGTTTTGTCAAACTTTATGTTTTTAATACTTAAATGCGAATTTAATATCTATCAACTCAGTAGAATAAGATAAATAGTAATTCGGCATTTGAAACCATAGATATTTCCCTCTAAAAAAATGGAATTAAACAGAAAAACATGCAGTGGGTTAAACTTTCTACTTCTAATTTCGATTTTAAAATTGTCTGAGTTTGAGGCTTACACTATTATCAGTATGGAGATTTGTGGAGATAGTAGTATCTTCACAGTTGAAATCACGGGTCAATCTAAGCTAAACCATCATTGTCGGCCTAGTAATCCAGAGGCTAAGAGTTTGTGCGCGAGACCGAAGGTCCTAGACTCGTGTCTCGTGTGTGGGATCGTGGATGCACACTATCGAGGTATCCCATACTAATACGAAACGGCCGTCCAGTGCTTCTATGTTTTAAATAATGGTCTAGCTTGTGTTATTGTCGATTGTTACCCAATGCTCTTAATAAAAGTGTAATGCGTATGGTTGCTAAGTTGTTAGCCCCGATTTTTTTTCTATTTTCCAGCTCTCCTCACCCCACACAACTCTGCATGCTCCCCCAGTATACAAAGTACTTACAGGTTAGACGTGAGCCTCTAAGAAACCCAATTTTGATGAGTATCTGTAACAATAAGAGGAGATGCAAATTTCAGCTTCTAACTATGAATAAAGACTGAAATGTTGAACTTGAGTATGTTTCAATTAGAAACATACTTAAAATCATAAATTAGCAGGGATGAAACTCACAAGGAATATTATTATTCATATTAATACATAGAACACAATCTCATATGTAAATATACAAGAGAAAATAAACGAATATTAAAGTGAATTAATGATGATTAGTAGAATTTAAGTGTGTTTCGTCCAATCTAGAACTCATCAACTGGATGTACTTGCGCATTTTACTGAGGGTTTTTTTTTCTAGCATTCAAAGATTGAGAACACAAACCCAATATATTATTTACTAAACAAACTACTGAGACCTAAATAGTAATACTAGGACAATCAACACAAGAAGTATAATGTACACCAATTGAATTCAGTAGTAAATATCATTATTAATGAAAAGAATAAATAATAAAAGTAAACATATTAACGAACAATGTAGTGAATACAAATATATATTTACTTTAGATTGAAAAATTTGACGTTTTTGTATTTGTTGTATACTGGCCAAACGAATATCTGCAGATAATTGTATAGTATCAATTAAATCTAAACAAGGTATTAATAATTCACCAAGTGTAGAAGGTCGAATAGATGAATCATTAATTAGTTCATTACTAGTATTATTATTATTAGCATCAAGATTATGATTTATAGTTGATTGATTTGTATTGTCGAATTCAGATAATTTACTTGATATTAAACAATCTGTTTCTGGAACTAAACTCACTAAACGATAGAAATTTAACATATATTCCCTGAAAAAGATATAGAGAAGTAGGGTAAAGTTTTTGTTTGTTTGTTTGTTTAAGGAACAATGGTAATAATTTTAAACTTGTTCACTGTTGAAATCACGAGTCAATCTAAGTTAGATCTTCATTGAAAACCTGAAGACACTCGACGGTCATGTCGTTCTAGTGTGCGACTCCACGGCAGTGCTCATCCACATTCCTACACATGGGACTCAAACTCAGAACCTATGGTCTCGTATGCGAACTTTTAACCTCTAGATCACTGAGTTGAGTGCGATTTCAATCAACCCATGATCTTGAGCAACCGTTCATCCATTGTCTGAGTTGAACATGGATTCTAGTAAGAAGTCGTAACCAGTGGAGTACAATCCGTGTCGAGTGTGAGACAATTTTCCACCTCAGGCAATGGGTGAAGGGTTGGACAACATCATGGGTTGATCGAAGTTGGACATTAACACCGTTGGATGCCAACTCAGTGATCTAGAGGCTGAATTTGAGCGCGAGATCAAAGGTTTTGAGTTCGGGTCCCGCATGCGGGATCGTGGATGCCCACTGTCGAGGACTACCATAATGGGACGAGATGTCCGTCGACTGTTTTTAAATTAACAATGGTGATCTAGCTTAGATCGACTCGTGATTTTAACTGTGAAAGTATTACAGTCTCCACAAATCCTCATACTGATAATTTCAAACTTATCTACAATAAATTAGTTCTAAGATTCATGTCAATTTGTATACTAGGAATTAATGATTTTCCAACGTTTGAAAAAAGAATGAGGTGAATAGGTATTCCAGTCTCGATGATATAAGATAATCAATCATTTTATTTCGCTATATGACTATCCGCTTTACTTATTTTACCTATCAAGTATGCTGATATTGATTGGACAATAAAAATTTCTTCTGCCTTGTAGTTAGTACAAACAGAATATGAGAAAAAGTGACAGATTTACTCTGTACTATCGTATGTTTCATGACACAAAACATATACAATCACAGCATATTATAAACACGGACTCGTCATTTATGATGTCAAACTGTTGAGTAATAAGAACATGATTAATTAGTTATGATCTATGAGTGGTTAGATGTATATCAACAGTTAGTGAGTTAAATGAAAGCTGACAATTGGGATATTATAAAAGTACCACAGAACAAATACCTAATAATTAGGTTCATTTATCCTAGACTCAAGTGTTGCATACAAACAACCAGCTCTTGTGAACTGTTAGAAGAGAACCAAAGAATCGTAACTAAGTTGATTCCCGGAATCGCAAACTTACCGTAAGATGAAAGAATGGCTAAACTAATTGTATTCCCTTTTTCATATAGAAGGACTAGAGAGGGTTTAATCAGTTTTTAAATTACTTAATAATAATTTTGCATCGGATATGCTCTAATTTTTCTTGTATTCTAAAACAGGAAATTTATGAAAACACTTTTAGAAAGTTCATAAGCTATGAACCAATTAATTGTCAGTTGACTATCGACTTTTTCATAGTGTCATCAACAAGTAAGACTCCTTAACTGAACAGATGATTGAATCACTATCTGTCGATATGTTCAATAGACAGTTGGATCAACTTAGAGACGCTTGTGACTATGATTAACACAAGTCACTTAGCTTCTTATCTTCCACAAACTGAAACTGAGTGAATAGCTTTCAAAGTTCCACTTTTTCACTTATTCATTCATATCTAACAGTAATCCATACAGTTCGGGTATTTTCAATGTATCTACACATCTGGTCTTTCACAATCATTATTACTTCAGTGTTATTTTTCTCGTATCAAGTTTCTAAAAATACTGGATAGTTGAAGAATTCTATCCGCTTGACTACACAGGTATCAAATGCCGATTAAATCTATTCGGAACTATTATAAGACATGAACAGTGAATAACCGAGTCGCCTAGTGACTGAACTCTCAAAGATATAATCAAAGTAAATCATCATTTCTGTTTATAAAATAGCAAAACCGCGGATGTTGTTGTGGGGAGCTTGTGCCGTATAGTCGACATTACGAAATAATCTATTGAAAACTAAGAGGCACTAGACAGATGTTTTGTCTTAATACAAGACTCATGCGTTCTGCACATCCATGACCCCGTCGGTGAATCAAATTTAGGATCTCCAGATTTCGCGGTGAACAAGCCAGCGCATAAAATTTAGGCTACTGAGTTAAGATCGGGCGATTGGAAATATACCTTCTGGTTTTTAATGGTTTTGTCTTAGTAAGATTAGCTTATGATGTAAATTAATAACAATTAATTCTGTCTGTTTAGTACAAATACCACAAAATAGAAAAAAAATTATCCATTAATAATCAGTAATAACTTACGAATGTAATTGAAAATCGCTACCAAGTATACAGCTAAATTGATTCAGGTTACCACCAAGAGCAGTGAATAAGCCAGTTAAAATTACACGACAAAATTCACCACGTTGTTTAATCACATCCCATGGAATGGAACCACGTAAATGAGCTGAGATATTGTTAATTAATACAATGACCTGTCATTAGAACAGAGTACATAAATGAGTACAAGAAGCAATAGCATTAAAAGAATAACAGTCTGACAAACGATTTAGGTTATTCAGATCATCTTATTCTGGTGTAAAAGTTTCATTATGAACCGTATAGGAAGTGGTAACATAATCAGTAAAAATAATCATTAAATTTCTATTTAGTTACAGTTAATTTCCCAGGCACTTTGAGCTACATTCTGAGTATAAGAGGTAATGATGCTACCCAACACTATTGCCCAAATAAAAGTAGGTGTATCGGGGTTCGAATTTATGACTTAATGGTCAAAAGTCCAAAATCATAACCATTGTTTTACCGCACAACTGTGTTGTAGAATCAAACTAACCTATCATTTAGGACAGCTCATGCGTTTAAGCCACCTGCTTTCCAACTACGCAAATATTCCAGTTAACCCACTGGTTTTAAAAATGTCTGAACTGAATAACTACGAATGTTAAGTGTATGTACTCACGAGTTATTGAAAAAAGGGTTACAATTTTTTTGGAATGTTAAATACTGAAAAACCTAAACAGAAAGTTTGAAGTTCCTGGTATATTTCCCTTTCTATTAAACCATCTTACGAATGATGGATGGAAAAAAAGTTGTAGGAGCTGTTTTTTTTCTATATAGTGCTGAATCGTCGCAGTATTTTCGTAATTAAATTATTTAGTTCAGAGAAAACAAAACCATCAAACGTATTCGTCTGAACTATAAATAATCTCCGACATTTCATCATATCATATTACCTTTGAACATAAATTATAGTAGTTTTCAATATCAGTTGTTATGTATTTATTTAGGTATATTGAGTGCTGATCTTATCTGTTAATTGAGACAATAATAAACGCCATTATTATTATTATTATTGCATACGCTGTTACGTAACAACTAAAACATTATTATTTTGCATTTCGGAAAGCACCGGCTCTACAACAATCATGCTAGATTTGTGTGCCTAGACGAAAACGTTTTTATTTACATCGTATTCCGTCAGTAAAGTTGTAATAAACGAGAACATTTGGTTAGAACAGAACAAGACTAAAAAAACGTACATAAACACCATCTAATCGTGATAAACGAGCAAGTGATCTCATCGGGATTGAATGGCCAAGATGTGGTAAACCAATCGGTGTAACTGACCATAAACATCGTAGGCGATTAGTTTGATTAAGACGTTTCTCCAGAAGTGATGTACATCCCTAATAAAAAAAACATTTTATTAAAAGTAAAAAGGTTAAGTTTTTTTTCAATGTGAGGTAAAATATATTTATTTATTCAACTCATTTACCAGGTAGAAATTTGACTTGTATGCTTGTCTCAGAGCTATACTTCAGAATGATGAGAGCCAGTGATACTATCCGGTTGTGCAAACGATAGTACATACAGAGGAGTTAGAGGTTGTAACTTAGTGAGGAGGGAGGAAGTCGAGCACCCTATTCGGATTCATTTCACTCCATATTCATAGTATCAATAACGTACAATTTTATATAATCTACACCTGAGCATACTGAACATATATTTTTCAAGCGGCCTTCATATCCCACATATTATCCGTTCGTCTTACATTGAAACTCCCCAATTTAATATATACTGTTGTCATTATACGCTTACTAGTGACTAATTTTGAAAGGCTGTTTTCGAAAAGTTCTGATGATAAACCACACCAAGTAGAGTTCAATCATGTCTAGTTTTTGGTGGCAGTTGCCTATCAATATTATTGAAAGATGATTGCATAATATTGAGAACTGAATTAAGTTAGGACGACAACCCATTAGATTTTAATTCAGTAGTAGTGTTAAACGCTATTCACGAGACCTGAAGAGCCTAGATTCGTTTCCTGGTGAGATCTTGGATGCATATTGTGTTGTGAAGTCCCATACTTAGACGAAATAGCTATCCAGTATCTCTTATTTTTTAATGGCTGTCTAACTTACATTAATTTATGACGAAAACTAACAGATAAACTAGAAAACTAAAGAAGATGAATTCAACGATTATGATAAAAAAGAAGCAAGGTTTACCACAAATTCTTTTTCAAATGACTCCAATAAATTCGAATGATCAGTAATTGTTGGCATGTCATTGACTCTGTTATCTATTTCTTGTAGAATAGTAGATTTTTCATTTGTAAACATAGTTGGAACTTCTTCAAGGTCTAAATTAGAATGTAGACAAAAAAAATGTTTATATATCAATTCATAAAACACAAGTTTAGCAATAGGATTCGGTAATAATTGTTGTTAAAATTTCAATTTAGAACCAGTGTCTGTTCGATGTCATTTTGTATGTTTAAGTTTCTATTCAACTCCTTTCCTCCTTCTATAAAAAACTTCATTTTAAAAAGTTAGTATTTATTATACATTAATATTATGTTGATGTCTCCTATTGTGGCGTATGCTACTTATGTTCGTAGGTATAAGTAGTATGTAACACCAGTCGGAAGTGGAATGTCTGTGAGCAGAAGGTTGAGTGGATTGAAATGAAGAGAAGAGAGAACAAAACTGAAAGCAATCAAGATAAAAACAGCAAAGCAGGAACAATGAAACTTGCAAGAGACGATTTAAGGATGTTAAAGTGATGTATTTGATGTATGAATTTTCACATGCTACTAAAGCACTATGTGATTGTGTATTAAACAATAAATTGGTCTACCCCCCATCTGAGTTCTCGTTCACAACACTACTATCACAGTAAACTAGTTTACAGCTGAAATATACTTTATTCGGTAGGAAACCATAAAGTAGGCAATGTTTAATTATACATAGTATGTGAGACTAATTTAGTCAGTTCACGAATGTAATAACGCATCACCGATGAACTTACACTAATTATCAAGAACCATACATATAACCTTGAAGTTACTTTATTAATGGTCTCAAAGTATTTTTGGTTATTTCATTGGATGATTTTATTACTGTTATTATTATTATTATTATTAATGGCCTTATTCAATATTATATTTTTTGGTACAATATGGAATTCTCAGTACAAAGTATTTCGACAAGTTTCCTTTTCTTATTTCTTAATCGATTCTGACGATTAATATTAAGTAATCGCCAGTTATATGTTAGCAGTTTAGAAATCGACATCTGAATCGTGTTCATTCTTTTCAATGCATAGTGTCAGCCACCAAGATGTCTCTGATTGTACTTTTTTGTAGCTTGTACAGTGAAAGGTCGTAAACTTTTCATCAACGCATCTGAATAAGCTATGCGATTAATAGACATAATGATGTGTTGAAATAAACAAGAAAACAGATGACTTGTTAAAATATGTAGATGCCAGGAACAGGTATCCCAGATATTCAAGCAGGCAATCAGATGTCAAATTCAAATAAGAGTTTGAAACCCAATAAAACCACATAGTACAGGATGATTGAAGGTCAAATAGTTTAAAGATAGATATACATATACACAGTAGAGCTTGTTTTTACAGTCTGATGTAAAAAAAAACAATTTAATAAAAATAATATATTTGTAATATCCCAATGAGTAGAAAAGTAATTAAATTTTCTGAGGCTTTGTGACTCAGTGTGTTAGCGGGATTAAGGCATCGTCCGTGCAGGATTGTGATGGGATACGTTGATTGGTCATTTCCTGACTAATCAGTGCTAGCGAAGACTCTAGAATCTTCTTATGTAGAAATTCTGAATATGCTAACGTTCTTCTTATTGTGATTCCTACTTCCATCCAATCTTTTTATCTGGAGTATAATTACGTTCCTGTTCAACCATGTTCTGATTTAGGGACTTGTCGAGTGAGCAGTGTCCAAGAATACTAAGCAATAGGAGTAGCTGGGTCATACTGAAAGAAATTATAACACAGTTCAAACCACTTTATATTCTCTGAAAAAGTGGTATACACTGAGTTATGAAACGTCAGAAAATTTAAAAACTTAATTTATGTACACATTGAGATATTACAAATACATTATTTTTATTAATAACAAACTAACACCCAATGTTCAATTTATTTGAAATTTTCGAATCAAACCTTGGTAATGACACCTACAAATTCGACAGTTAGTTTTGACATCATACAATATGTTATCACCTTCACTGAATGAAATGGTTACAACGAGTAATATGTATATCCCAAACCACAGCTCGTCTTGACAATGTTTGCTGGTATAAGAGTAGGTTGGAAAAAATATAAAGGTGAACAAATCAAAACGTGGTATTCGTCCATGAGACAATTAACCATTAGTTCAAGCCATATTGATAAATGCAGACTACCTACCTGGTTGTCGTTACCAGTAGTTGGAGATGTTAGACAATATGGCTCGGAAACAATTACAATGGTGCAGATACATTCATTCACTCTTTGTTATAAAATACACATAACTTTTGTTTGATAAATTTGTGTTTTCTACTCGATTCATACTGTCTTTGGTTAACGTTACTTCTTACTACCATTAATACAGTTGCTACTTCCATCTCTCTAGAATTTGTCTTGATGTAGGGTGTGGTACAACAACTTGAATCGAAGCATATATGTGCAAAGTTCTACATTGTTTATGACCAACTTATTAACATGTTATCCATCCGATAGTTATCGATCAGATAATCAAAATAAGTTGATAAAAGTCAAATATAATTTGAATACAAATTACAAACAACAACTAACTTACTGGCATTCGCTGAACTAATTCCATCTACCGTAGGATATGCGTTACGTACAAGTTCTTGAAGTTTAGGATCTTTAAAATCATTTTGAATAGTCACCAACAATCCATTTAAACATTCTGTAACAACATTTCTTAATGAATCCGATGGAATTTTATTCATAAGATAATCTTTCTCTACGTCAGTATAATTAAAATAAGGTTTCGGAGTTCGAGGAATTGATAATCCTGTTAAAATGTTATAAAAGTATAAAAATCACAGTCGAATAGTTAAAAAATAAAATGACTCAGTAACAAATAACTAGATTTTTATAAATCTAGTAATTTATGTAAGGCCGAGAATGATGATGACAATTAACTCAGTTACTATGATATTCATATTTCTTTAACTAAACACATGAACATTGGTACAAAGGGGAATCAAAATACATATGTCCCAAACAAATTAGTTGTCAATAAATTCATATGTGGACTAATATAATGCCCGGGTGCCTGAACCGAAGCAAGTACTTTTACCAGGGAACCACAAACCTAAAGGCCTGGTCCACAAGACAGTGGAGCAACGTTAGACGATGCGGTCTCATGTTAGCCAACAATAGATTCATACGTCATTTGTTCCATTAGGATTCAGGAGCACATGTGTACCATTGGCTTGGAATCAGAGTTTTCAAACTGCCCCAGGTGGACCCTCCATATCCACCAACCCGGTTAAAGCGTCGGACATTCGCTTTTCATATCAATTTCGTAAACAACAACCCTACCGCTAGAGGGCAGTGAGTAGGACTTCCCTGACAGTGGCTATATGCGCGTGGCCATATGAAATTTTGAGAGGGAGAGAGGACTATTCCTACCTTCGGCCGTAGCAGAACATTCGGGGGCTGAATAAAACAAGAAGTGATTGATATGTCATCAGTGAAGGAATGAATGGATATTTTATTGTTGCTGCAAAGTCCTTGTATTGAGAACACTGAATGAATAAAAGAATTTACTGTCCGTTTATTTTTGGTGAAATTAAATGACCAATTGATGACATAATTATCTTATTTATTACAAAAACCAAGAATTATCTCCAAACAGTGGATTACAAACGAAGTACACAGGTCTAGCTCAGCTAATCTTTTTTGTTGCTTTGAACAGTTGATTATTGGCCTGTGCATCTATCTGAATGATGTGGGTTCAAATGCCAATGCAAGAGAATCAGTTTCTTATGGACTAACGGTACATCTACCTTGTTGATAAATTAACTAGTGTGGATAGTAGGTTAAGGAACGTCTACTGACGAAGACCTCCAATAACCTGCTAATCATCTCAACATAGTAAGATATCAAGTCATTCAGATTAGTGTGGCCACATTGCATCGTGTTCGACAGAATCTGATTAGCACTGAAAAATTATCAACAAGTATAAAAAAGACAGAATGATTCAGCGTGAATATCAACACTGGTTGATCATTTATCAGTAATCAGCGTCATGTTTGTCTAGTTCATTAGTAGTGATGATCATGTTTAAAACTCAACCGTTGACAAATGTATTGTTTACAGAAAATTCGAAACAATCATAATATAGGTACCGAAATATTCCACTAATGACCACTCTTTTTCTTCATAAAATCATCCGTTAGAGCACGGATATACTTATGACTTTCTATTATCTGCTCAATAATCGAGATGAGTGGATCAAAAGCCTTTGGGGTCACAATACGAGCTTTGTAATGTCTATTCACTGAATTGACATTCCGATCTATGTACCTGCATGCACATTCTAATACCGATAACGTAGGTTGAGATGTAGCAACTAGTCTAAATAGTATGTTGGACAATGTTTGATATTTATTGATTTGCCACTATCGGTGCTTAAAAGCTCGTCCTCGTCCAGGTTTTGTGCTAGTTACCTTGCTGGCAATACGAGATATATACAGTTCTGTGTAAACTTATACTCCCTGTGAGATTCAAACTCAGGTTATTCAGTTTTAGAGGAGTTAAGGCCAAGCTAATTTCTAGCATAGCTCCTGGATGATTTCCTTCAACTCTTGTAAAGACAATTATCTGATATAGTTGACAAGTGCAAAAAATAGATGTTGAATTCCAACGTAAAACGAATCGTTATTTTGCAATACAGAAAAATAATTTCAAATGAGAAATCGAATAATTACCTGTTTTCATTGGTACTAAAGGAAATATAACATATTTTAAAAATGCCAAAACTCCATTGCCTTGTTCAGCTGTCATATTCGGTGGACAAACAGATGATGCTAATTTACTGGCAACAAACTCCGGTGGATCAAGTAGATCAATTTTTGAATCGATTTCAGAAGAGGACATCTTTCCCCCTGTCAATCCTGGAACCATTGGATTCATTAAATGTATTCGTTTCTTATGACCAAGATGAGGTAAATACTATAATGGGAATGAAATTGGAATTTTAAAAAAAAATTAAATATGAAACTTTTATCCAATCATAATAAATACTCTCCATTCTTTCAATGTGAAATCTTCATAATATGATTAAAACAGTTGTAACTAACCGATAAAATTTACTCTCTGTGATCATTAGTATGATTTTTTCGCAGAGATGCTATTTCAAAGATATAAACTTCGGTATTTTTAGAATCTGTAGACTGGTCCATCGATCTTCAGCCAGTCAGTCTGTACTCATTAGATAATGTAAAGTCTAGCACACATATGAACCGCTTCAAGTTGTCATACTAAATCAGCACAGTGAAATAAAATTATCAAGTGAGTATTACAGTAGCAATATTGATGGCAGAAAAAGATTAGGGATGGAGAATAAGGTTATTTGAGAGGAAAGAATGAATTCACAGAATAAAATGGTATGAAGTAATTTTGAAACTCCGGGTGTAAGAGATGAATACAGCTGTTCCAGCGTGACTGATTCGAAGCCATATCAGTTAGTCAGCTACAACGTAGGGAGTCACATCATACATTTTAAACCAGTGGTGTCTTTGTTTATACCTTAGATCTAATTTCACCACTGCTCACTTATTGGTCTCAACATGTGAGAAAAATGGGTTCGAGGATATCTATCGTTAGGTAATAATAATCAAAGAATGTTGTCTGGTGCCTAAACGATTGTCTGATATTAATCAATATTAAGAACAAAAACAGTGGTTATATTATTAGGTTGGTAACAATTAACTGTTAGTTAGCAAATGTAACATTTTTAAACCTCGAAACTATATGTGCAGAAACTCAATATGGCTTTTTCAAGACTCACATTTTCAGAGGCTGACTACTAAAGGCAGCAACAACTTACCACACAAGTAAGTCTCAACGAGTTTATTGATGGGATCGAATACTTAAGATATATCATACAATATTATAGTGTCACACAATTACTATTATTTATTTTTTTATTTTTATTTGAACACATAAATATTGGTACAAAGGGGCACCGAATAAATAAAAGCCACACAAGTCACTTGGGTTGTGTGTGGGCTGTGATACTACCCGAGTGTTCAAATCGAAGCAGGTGATTTTCTTAGAAGGCCACACCCAGAGCCTTCGATCTAAAGACCTGATTCATAAGACAGTAGCGCAACGTCAGGAGATGCAGTCCCATGGTAGCCGGTGACTAGGATCCTGGAGCCCATGTGCACCATTAGTTTGGAGTCAGGGTTTTCCAGCTCCCCTAGGTGGATCCTCCATATCCACGCCCAGGCCGCGAGGAAGTAGTGAGTAGGACTTCTGTGGTAGTGGCTGTATACGCGTGGCCATGTGGAAGCATTTCGAAAGGGAGGGCGAGCTCTACACACACTCGGCCGTACCAAGGCATTTGGGGGTCACACAAAAAATAACTAAAAGGAAATCCTGAAGTCTCAATTTTAATTCATATATATTGGTTATTTCGATCTTTCTACTGATGTACAGTACTGCAACTGATCAATCTCTTTTGACATGTGTGCATCCTCTGCCTCGATACTGCCAGTGAGTCACAAGCATCTCTAAGCAGAGAAGGTCGCTAGCAGTGAAATTCAGTGCACAAGTCAGTGACTGTCTGGAATAAGTATATATATACTGGTGTCTCTTTGTACTAACACATATATTTAAATAAATAAATTATAAGGAAGTGTTAATCACAAACTGATCACGTTTGAGGTATCATCAGAAACCGGCAAGTATTAGACAGCTCATTCGTTCTAGTATTGGACTCCACGCTGATGGTAATAAATGGTCATAGCTCTGTATTGCTGACTAATACTAATAGTTAAGTGTTCGTCATGAGAAATAAAGATCTAGTATTTTATCCCTGACAGGGTCGTGAGTGCACCTTGCTGAGGAATCTTAATTTAGCATAAAATAGCTACTCAGTGCCCTCCGATTAATCATTGTACCCAGATTGCGAATATAACTGACAAATTAAACCATTTTCCATAAAAATCCTTCAGAGTTCAGTATTTTTACTTTTAGTTACTTACCTTTTCAGCTAACATAAATATTTTCCGTTGATCTACACCACCGAATTGAATATCAACATTCAAATGTACTTCATCCAATGCTTGTAATAAAGGATATAATAATCCAGATACAAGTGGATTATTAACTTGTTTAACAACCTCTGCACCAGCTTTACGTGCATCATGAACTGAAGTTAAAGCCATTAAACGATATACATCCATAGAATATTCTCTACGATAAGATAATGAGAATAACAATAAGAGAAATTTTTATTTATTCTTAATAGACTTCATAAATAAACATGTATACTCAACTCCGATAAATTGTAAACCGTTAATTGCCTGCTGCATCTTTCAGAGAGAATGAAGATAACCATATTTTATGCCATCGGTTAGGGTTTGAAACATAAAACACAAACTTAAGTATGAATGAGGTTTTTCGAGATGTATTGTCAATTTCCTATCCATTTCATAAAAAAGGAATGAAGAGTAATCTGCAATTGTTTCGTTCTAATAGTGAAAGCACAAAAAATAACTGACCGATGAAGTAATGTGTACCTGATAAGAACATTTTTTTAAAATGCTTAGAACAGTAACAGGACTAAAACATACATACAACAAAGTTACAAAACTGTGAAGAATGAGAGAAAGGCATTGAAAAAAGTATACATATACATACTACAAGAGTAATTTTAATTAAGAACAGGGGTATTTTAAAAATGTATTTTAATGCTAATGAAAAAAGTCTATTAAGACTACTGTTCGCTTTTATTCTGAGCCATATATGATAATGGGCACAAGTCAGAGTTGAGCTATGTAAATGCGAAACGAGTAATGTATATGTCATCATACAGAAATACATTATCATTCAGATACATAGAGTTAAAGTATTCATCCTGTATTCATATTCAGAACAGTTATGTATGTTAAAATACTGAGATTAAAGAAAAAATGGTTCCTAAATAAATATTATTCGTAAGATGGAAAACTTATAACTGAAAAAAATATTCAGATTTACAGTATTAGGTCAAACTTACTCAGTTAACTGGTAATCAGCTCCACGTATAAAATGCAGCCGGTCCAATGGGACACAAATTGAACGGAACATTCCTTTTATAACAGCTTCATAATACTTTGTACGAAGACAAAGCAAATACCATGGGGCCTTCATGTTATCTAGATATGCGTGTAAGTCAGCAAAGAGTACAGTGACTTTTGCACCGGTTTTCAGCATATCAGCCAACTTAATAATTGGAACAAAGTATGCTATATGAGGTCTACCAGTTGTTGCAGTACCCCAATACACAGATACTGATGAATTTGGTTTCTTTAAAAGATTTCGAAGTTCATCATCACCTACTACCTCCTGACGTGTAAATGAGAAACACAAATAAAATATATAAAGATTTTAGATCAAATTATTGAAATACTATGGGACAGACCTGTCAAGTATTTTGTCGAAGGTTTAATGCTAGTCCTAATGTTATTTTTTAACTAATTTAGTTTAGATGCATATTTATAACATAATTATAAACCCGAATCTCGAAAAATATGCAACACTTTATACATTAGTAGTAGATACTAACCTGAAGATTCTGGACGAATAACGTGTATTTATCTACTTCCATATTAAGATAAATTTTCGTTAGTTGTTAACAGGGAGACTGATATACGAGTGTAGAATAAAATGAGCCGAATATATGCACTTTGCACAGGCTATAAATAAGTAATCAACCTAATTATTACATAAAAAAGGATAAGGAATCAAGATATTTAATAAACTTATGCAGTACAGCAACAAACAAAATTTCAAAACAAATGAACCGGTCTGTAAAACGTCATTTTGTGATTTAAAACCGTAATGTTTAGTGGTAAAAAGTACAGGGTCTAAGGATAACCCACAAGTTTCTATCTTATGTTCTACTGCTGATGACAGTCATTACAGTATTGGTCTGAATTATAGCAAAACGACATTCAGAAAAGCACAATTAGGCGTGAGTTAGGTTTTATGACGACTGTAACTCTGGGAGTATTTCGTACCGACAGACGTCGGTTGCCAACTGGAATCCATATGCAACCGGATAGGCCACACGACGCCAGAACCAAGCACAAAGACAAGTTGGAGCTGACTATTCCACCTGTGAACCGTCTTGGCCATTAAAAAACGTGTAAAAGACAGGGGCTATCAACTCGGAAAACCTTATATAGGTGGGCTGCCTGTCTATTCACGTAAGGCTAATACAGACAAACAGGAAGGACAAGTTCACGCGTTTCAAATTGAAAGTATAAATTGCTTATACATGAACGCCACTAGTTTACCGGATAAAATGGATGAGCTGTGTGAACTCAGTAGTGCTAATAATACTCATTTGATAGGAATATCTGAAACATGGATATCTTCTCAATTTATGGACCAGGAGCTAGCAATACCCGGGATGTCTTTGTTTCGCAATGACAGAAAAACAGGACTGGGGGCGGATTAGCCTCGAGGTGGTAGACAATCATACTGAGCATGATACGGATTCATCAAGATTGATAATCTCTTGGTTGTGAACTTGATGTACCTCTGGGCAAGATCGCAAGTATAAGACCACTCGAATTCAAGCCTTATGAACAGCGCCTCCAATCACTTAACCTTTACCTATTAGAGTATAGACGTCTTAGAGGTGACCTTCTAATGGCTTACATTATCCTTAACACTTCTGGACAACCCCTTAAACACCTCCAATACAAACCATAGAGAAAGCACCTAGAAGCTAGAGACAACATAAGAGGACGGATTCTAGGCACACGTTCTACTCCTTAAGAGTAGTCAAATACCGGAATGCTGTGCCAGTTGAGCTAGTCCAAGCGACTTATCAAGAGTCCTTTAAGATGGAACTTGACATATTCTTAAGGACTAAGGACAGGATCTCGTTATAATTTTCTACTCGTCTTTTACCGTTAAATATACCTGGGTCCTTACTTGGAGACATCGGTGATCCACAGCTACAACCTACAGAAGCCCGTTAAGCGAAAGACTCCTCTATTCCGTCCATGACTATTTGAACCATTTATATGTGCCACATTCACACCTGCGACTTGGTTTACTTAGTCTGTTGTAAACAGTTACTGCGAGATCTGTACGTGCTTCATGGGACCAAAATTTGCATTTGTCACACTGCATGCCACAGGTGACAGCAAAACGGCATTCAAGTCGCTTCCATGAGTTCTATATGTCTCTGTTGATATGTGAGTTGTTAGATGGACCATAGCGAGTTTAAGACCGTGGAAAAGCAATAAGCGCAAAATAGGAATGAAAAACAGGTCGTACAAAGGGATATGTCACACTTAAACTAGGCTTGGTGCGGAAAATTTTGGAAACAGAATAGTAAGCTGAGGTAAAAACCACATTCAACTATTAACTTGAGTAAAGCTTAAAAAGGAAACTAAGGAACGTTTATCTCAGAACAGGTTCTTTGTATCAAAAATGGCACTTTTTCGCTTAAGAACACAACAAAACTTTGAGAAATGGAAACCACGTGAGAACTTAACTTCCGGTTCGTAAAACAAGTGACTATAAAATTACTTGTTTGTGGTCGTCAGTCATCAAATGATACTAGTAGGATTCAATTTAAATAAGCACTTACCACCCTAGGGTCCAAATTAGAGCTAACTCAAATACAATAGTTACTAACACATTCCCGAACACAAGACAGAACACGCAGTTAAAATATGAGTAGCGACAGTGTTGAAATTGCCGCTCAAATAGTTCGAATGAGTATAGAGTAGAAGAAGTTTTCGCTTAACAGGCCTCCGTGTCTAGTATCAGTGGGTCACCAATACCTCCAGACAGTAACCTATGTATATTAACGACAACAGAGAAAAAAAATTAGTTGGTAAATCACTGTAAGACATTATCCTTGGTCAAGTTAAATTTTACTGAAGATGACACAAGTTAAAATGTGGCTGTGAATAATTAAAGAGCGTAAGGCATAATAACTCTTGAAAGAATACCTTTAGTGTTCGAAAACCTTGGTCAAAACTATATAAGTCTATCAAGACAGGTCTTGTAATTAGTGCAGCGCCATGAGGTAGAGTGTACAGGGAGTTGTTTTTGGAAAGATACGCCTTGGATTTATAGAAAGTAAAGATTTTGCCTTAAGGTTAAAGAAATTTCTTCGGATAATATATCATGGCTTGCCGTTGTACTCGAATAGGTAATTTGTCCCGACCGTTTCTTATGTGTTCCTCAAGTGGTATTTATCGGTGCTGTCTACTGTCTTCATTCTTGCTTGACTTTATCGTAGACGAGCTTTTACAAATAACACTTTCCTCATCTAAATTTACAGGGGTTGAACTTCTACCAGGAGATCCACTTGTTGACTTAGAATGTGCCGACAACATAGTTCTATTTGGTGAAGACGCTGACAAAATGCAGTCTTCTGATCACTATAAGCAACAATGCAAGCATGTTCTGCATGCGATTCTCCCCCTCGAAATGCAAAATGTTGCTTCAGGATTCGGTTGCATCGCCACCCGAACTTATGATGAGAAGTGGAAGTCTCATCAGCCCTTGTGGTCTGGTGTGTGACGAAATCTCAGCACGGATACAGAAGGTTCGACTACCTTTTGCCAACCTGCGTCACTTATGACGTAGGTGGGATATCCGTCTACCAGTCAAAGGACGGATTGACTATGAAGCAGTTCGTCCCGTCCTACTTTATGGCAGTGAAACGTGGCCGATAAGAGTAGAGGATATTCGTAGGTTACTAATATTCGATCATAGATGTCTTCGAAACATTGCTCGTACATGCTGGGACCACCGAGTAAGTAATGAATTCTTCGTGTCCCTTTTTTCCTCGTTCCAAATTTATGTCGCTGTATTATACTCCTTGAATAATATCTTCAAACCCTAATGTTTCCGATTACTGCTTGTACTTTTACTACCTCTATCACTACAGGATTTGAATAGACAACTTCGTCTCTGTGCTAACGTGGTATGTCAACTTGAATTGATTTACGTACATACGAAGTTCTATGTTGTTACTGACTGATTGATTTATATATTGTCCCTCGAGAAGCAGTCACGCACAACGTGAAACATCGTTTAAACGTATGTGTAAACAATGCGCCTATTTACCACCTGTCTTACATGACTTATGAAAATTGAGTCGTCTTACTACTCACTGAGTTAGAGTATTAAAAAAAAGATCCAGTGATTCACATTATCACTGCACCTTACATTTGCTCGACTGGAGTTGAACGCTAACAAGCTTGAAAAACGTATACCCTAAGTACACTTTATTTCTGACTTCTAATATCGAAATTCCGCAATGAAAGACCCTCAAAGATGATGGAGAAACAACAGATAATTGCAGATCATAAATTCACAAGTTGTTCGAGCTGTGAATCAACGAATAAATAAAACCGGGAAATTTTCGGAAATGTACTCCAGTAAACGGTATAAATTTTTTGTTATGTGTTTAGCAAATGACAAGTGGGCTAAATCGAATAATTTCTCTCTTCCACACTGCTTCATTTGTAATAAATGCACGTTTATTTAACTTCAGGCAAAGAACTCGTGAAAAAGTTGCCAGGTCCACACATAGTTGTTTGCTGAAACTATCGGAGGTAATGCTGCACTTTTAAGTGTCTTTTAGGTCCTATTCTTGTGGAGCATTTATTCACTTGCCTCTATTACTTTTCTCCTGAGGAACTTCTCTCTTGGGTTGATCCTCCTTAACTTGTTTCTCATTTTGTTTGAAGTCTATTAAGAAGCATAGATAGTAGTAGCTTTGCCACCGATAACTACACCATATTTACAAAAACACGTAAAAAACCTCATAGCCATGTGTACAACATGAACCACTTAACTCAAATATCAAAACTCAGTTTCCAACAAAATTATCAGAACCACATTCCTATCCAGATTCCTACTCCCAGTAACACTAGTAAGCAGAAATAAAGCGGACGAAAAAGGCATCCTAAACTGTCCTCAACGCAGTTTATTGGGGTGAAACAACACAGCGACGATAACTATATCACGCACTCGTTGCTCACTAAAACCGAGGACTCAGCTTATGAATGTAATTTCCGTAGTGTCTGAGTACACTGCCGCTATAATATCTAAGTTCCTAAGCAAAACCATGGGTTCATGTCAAGCCACTCCTGTTATTGGTTCCGGCATAATGTGGAAAAAATATGCTAAAGAAGGTAAAAACCGAGAAACATAAAACCCTATCGGAAGCAACCGTATCAATCATCGCAAGTGAAATAAAATCGTCAAACACGTGACTGTGGGGGCCGTACCTCGAGGTTATACATCAATAAAATCGTCAACACTTTCTTATACTCTAGTATCTGTTGATTGTAAAGGGATGTGGATAAGCGTCGGAAGGGAAAAAGCGACAGCATAATTCTCAAAAGTCTGGAAACGGCGACCAATGACGCCAGTGTTGCAAAGCAGCTTATTGGAAATAAGCTGAGCCGCTGATGCGAAATAATGGGACAAATACCGTACAATGCTGCAGAGAGTACTACTCTAGCTAAACTATTTCGTCTTTATCAGGCCCAAAGTGTAGTGAAAGGTAGGCTTCCTCTATTAAGAGTATTTTTAGATTCAACAAGTGTTTAAGAGGAAATCTTAATGACACCACAGAGACAACCGGTTAAGAGATTCCCTCACATGTGAGTTAAACATGGAAAGCCGTGGAGCATGAATGGTCCTACTAGAGGGTCAACAAAAACTCAAGAACCAACCAGCACAGTGGCCCACGAAGTGCCTGAGCTAGTAGTGGTGGAGGCTAAGAGTTGGTGACCATTGGAAAGGATGTGACTCAGGATGCTATTCATCACATTGTAGTTCAGGTAAAACACACTTGGAGTAAGATCAAGTCAAACAGAGAGCCTAAAACAAGTTACGAAGATTTTACTAACCTACAGATGGCGGAGATAGTTAATGTCAACTCCATTAACCAGTTAAAGCAAGAGACCATAATTGCCGGACGCCCCTCAACTGTAGCCTCATTCGGGGTCCGGAGAAAAATCCAACTGACTCACGAGTTAGTATTAAAAAATCATGACCCTTGAGTCCAGGAAAATCACGATGGTGTGACGTCGTTCCCCTTATAATACTGAAACGGTACACGTAAGCCACCAGCATGTTACTCAGCGATCTGTCAGAGCGTTCACTAGATTCACACAAGCTGACAGGAAAATAGAAGTAGGCCACTCTCTCTACATTCTCCATGAGGAGGGGTTGGAAAAGACCTAGCATGTTACAGACCAGTTGCATTACTCTCAGCATTTTCAAGGATAATTGAAGAAGTGGCCAGTGAACAAATGAGAGATTAAATAGATAAGAAGAACTTTGGCCATAAGGCTCAACACGGTTACAGAAAACGCTGGTTTGGTGCATCCAATCTTCTCATGGACGGCTGGAAAGTCGGCTGGGATCATAAGACGCCATTTTATGCAATATTCCTCAACTCTCCAAAAGCCTTTGACTCAGTGACGTACACACTCCTCATAGCGAAGGTCACAAAAATATGGTCCTGAAACCGTCTAAAGAACTTGATGTTTCGTACTGAAACGAGTAGAGTACTAATGGGCTGTAACGCTTCAACGTCAGGAGTTTTACAAGAAGCAGTCTTAGGTTCACCATCGTCCTTGATCCTTGATAATAACCTGTTGCATAATATCAGCTCAGTGGCACTGATCTATGCAAAAGGTACAAAAATATGGAAGTTCACAAAAAGCGAAAAGAAGTTGTAGTGACATTGAACAATAACCGCACAATCCACAAAGCTGAACACGAGACTACTCAGAAAATAGATATTCAATATTTAACGCGGATAAATACCTAACAATGGAAAAGGCGCGAACAATGAATTGAATGGACTGGAGTTGATCGAGTGGCATGGCTCGGCCATGCAGGCGTGGTCTCTGCTGAATGTTACCTTATATCTTCTATTCATATTAAATATATTGTTCTTTCTCTAGCCTAACCTTGTTCTACATCATGTATTGGTAATTGATACGATACAGTGAGTTGGTGTAGTCGATGGTGTGACTTCCACGTAAGATCTTATAGATTAGGCAGTTATATCATGACAAATCTAAAAATTTAGGATCAGGTCTATTATTAGAGCAGCACTAATATCATAGTAGACCATAGTTCTACAAAGTCACTTAAACTTCAAACGAACATTATAACAACAGAGAAATTGTCGGTGGACAATGGGTTCGAAATTAGCCTGTGGGAATATCATCTTAAGTACATTTTGTCTTGTTTGACACAAAGCACTTATACTCTTCATAGAAATCCGCTCACTACTGAAACTATTTAATTCGTCTCTAAATGGCAAGGTAATATCGGTTCATTATTTGGGTGCTTAAATGCCATAGGTCTCATCATAAGAGTGGCTGGACACATACCTAAGTGGCTAAGAAAGGAAATGAATTACAGTGGTCAAATAAGATCACGGGATAAGCACGTATTTCCCTACATTGGTAAACATTTGGTTGAGACCGGCCGTTAGTTTGATATCAAGTCGGCCTTTGTAGTCTCATACAAACGTTCGCAAGGATGTTTACTAAAGCTCATTGAAATCTCGGCTATTGTGCTAATTAGGAGTATTTGAATTATAGCACGAACTAAGAATTCCAGAAATAACGTAATCAGATCAAGAAGTACTAGATAAGCACGAACGTTTGTACTGTATTCGGAATTCGAAATCAAGCATTCAGCAAGTACAAAGGAA